GTTCATAAACCTCACTTGTGAGGTGTTGGAGCACTATATTCAGATCCCCAAGTTGGAGGGTGAAACTTCCGTTTTAATTCTCCAATCAGAAAGTTTAAGTAGGTTTACTAACCATCTAGTTGTGTTAGTAGCTTGATTATGAAATTCAGCTGTAGTCTGAGGCGCTGTGGATTTAGATCCACTTGTATCCCGGCCGCCTAGGTTATTCGCTGCGAAGTCCTTGACGATGTAGGTGCACAACCAGGTGTGTCTGTCCTCGTTGAAGTTTATGTAAAATTGCCTGACTGCCGTGCCCTCGTCCTAACTTGACAGGGGAGGTCTCTAACCTGAAGAAAGCAGCCCAATCATGAAGGTTCAGATTAACTGGACTGTAAGGAGGCTTGCTCGTTCACTGATATATAGTTGTCACTTGTAAGCGTAAGTGTTGACCTGTGAATTAAGATCGACCTCCTCGTGGAGGTCGTTGTCCAACGCGTCCAATCAGAACAAGGCATTTTGATTCTGTAGAATACCAGCGCTGTGATGTCACCGGTGTAGCAGGAAAAACCTTGTATAAAATCTTGCCGTCGTTGATATTAGCATAATCATTCGGTCTTCACCGTAGCTTCGGGTTACCCGAGTGACACGTGTTTCGAGGGTTAAAGGTAAACGCATGAAACCTCGGCGCCGAAATACCTCGCTCTGTAATATTAATGCTGGGTAGGTTATTTTCCTGGCTGTCGTGAAAGTAACTTCAGTTTTGAATATAATTCCGACTTTCTTATATATAAAGGTACAATAAACTTGCAAGTTGTCAGCTTGTAGACTGTATACATGAATGTATCGTCATAATTGTAGAATTAAAGCTGAACTTGTTGTACATATTTCTTCTCAGAAACTTTGACGATTATGAGTTATACTCGCTGTAACAAGGCTGCTGTTCAATTTCGATATTGAATTGTCTGCAGATCTGCGTAATGGTCACGCATGTAGATAATCGTATCGTAGTAGTCGGGATTGCATATTCTAGCAATCTATCACGGAAAGGTTGATTTCTGTGAAGATTTATGCAACGTCGTTGATTAATTAATATAGCGGCGTTCTGTGTTGTAAATAGCCTGTGCAATTGTCTTCACGTAGGCTTATAGGCGGCATATGGCATACAGTTGATAGACAACTTATGCGATGTCTTGAAACGGACTGGCGAGTAGCTATATATGACGAGTGGCTAATATATGGAGACCTTGGAGGAGAATTCCTCGGTGGGCGCCGGAGATTTCGTGAAGCTCTCGAAGTATCAATCTAGATTTCCTGTGTGAGGTAGACTTGGAGCCACTTAGCCTTAGCGACCTTCGCTGAAGGTATTGAGTCAGAGCCGATCAGTATATATATATAATATATGGCGCTTGCATGAAGCGACCTCTGTGTTCAACAGGAGTGAGTGAGTGAGTGTATTGTTTTACGCCGCGACTCAGCAATATGTGGGGTCGGTGAAGCGCTACTCTTCCGTGGCGCCCCTTGTAACTGGTGAGGCTCTAGCTCCTCAGCGGAGGTGGCCTGGGACTTCCTTAGCGAAGTGTCTAGAAAACCGATCAATATATGAGGCGTTAGCTTCATACAGGGTGTGGTTCTTGCTGGTTCTGCATAAGTAGAGCCGAGTAGATCATCCTATCATCTTCAGAAGTCGGTGTCCACGAAATCTGGTGATAAGAATCTCATTGATCGTTCTAGATCTATTAATGCCAAAACATACGCCTCTGGCGTTTGAACTATTATGGCTTTATGGTAGGCTGTGTCCACATACTGTGGCACCGCGAAAGCAATCAGTCGATTGGAGGTAAGGTGATGGCGTCTGCCTCGTCTTCCTTTATCATGTATGTCTGCACCGAGTTGCCACTCTTGGAAGGTGAAGAGAGATCTAGGTTGTTTACAATCCAATATCGTATCTCAGCGTCTGAGAAAATGATGCCTCCATCATTTTCTATCCCAGCATCACTGATGAGAGGTTGATGCTCTTCTGATGATGGACTGTGTATTTCTATCTCTATGTCGGGTGACGCTTCGGGGAGACCTGACTGTAGACTTGTGTGCAGACTTGTGTGGTGACCTGTGAGGCGATCGGCGTGGTGATGTACGAGGAGATCGGGCGCGGTTAACGGCGAGATCGTGTTGGTGAACTTGCGTCTATGGGTTGACCTTCGGAGACCTGTGAGGAGAATGTTGATAGCTTAGCGAAGCTCGTGTAGTCAGGTGTCCTTCACGAAGGCCAGCGAAGGCCTTCGAAGCTTCCTCTGCGTCGGTCCTGGGGAACGGCGATTTGACCTTCGCGAAGGCTTCCGTGAGGTCTGGCGGTCTGAGTCCGCATCTAGGGATGAAGCCGAGGAAGGTGATGATCTATCCCGCCTTAGCGAAGGCCTTAGCGAAGAGCTGTACATCTGGGTCGCCGTGGCGGTGGTCTGCGACTTCCTTCAGCGAAGGTGGCTTCATCGTGGCTGCTACGCTGATGGGGGTGCCTCTGGGGTGTCGTCTGCGTTGGAACCTTCAGCGAAGGCTCGGGCCTTGGGCTGGCTGCTTCCCAGTCTGTGGTGGCCCTCCATCATGATCATGATTTGCGCAACAGTTCATCTGGGATGGTCTGCGACGAATTAGTCGGTGCCCTCTCTGCGATGTTTCTGGTGGGACCCTCAGGGAAGTCGTCTGGCGTCAGTGTAGAGACATCAGGCTGCATGGCGATCTCTGCTGATGTCACTGTAGCTGTCTCGGTCGCTTCTTGTGGCGTCGTCGGGGATGATGATCAGCTGATCATCGTAGAGGCCCAGTTCAGCGGCTGGAACAATCTCGGTTGAGAAAGTCCTAGTAGACTTCGTTGATTTCCCCTCAGAGGTCGACGCTGCCCTGGGGGTGCGAAGTCTGTGTTGAGTGTTGGTAGCGACGGGACCCTCAGGAAGATCATAGAATATCAGCGTTGGTACATCAGGCTGCATGTTGATCTGCGCTGACATCACTGTTGCCGACATCGGTCATTCTTTGATGTACATCAGGTATGATGATCGGCTGATCATCATACAGGCCCAAATCTGCGCAGGGAACAATCTCGGCTGAGAAAGTTCAAGTAGACTTCGTTGATTTCCCCTCAGAGGTCAGCGTTGAGATGCAGTAGAAAAACTCTAGTCTTGGCTGCGGCGATGGGATGTCTGGGGAAGCAGGGCGGCTTTTGAGGCGGACTCGTCCACGCCTCTCCACCACTCTAAGCGGAACACCAGGCGGGAGGGGAAGTGCGACCAACAGCAGTAGACTGGCGAGGGGTTCAGGTGTATCAGTCATGGCTTGGCTAGACTCTGCATACAGCGACCTATCTGCTGCGGCGTCTCAAAGCGCCAAAGTAATTATTTATTAAAGGCAGAAATGGATAAATTAGTACCGCAACTGCAGCGTGAATAAAATGAACATGGCGCAGTACAACTAGGGCATATTAAATGCGGATCAGCAGCAGAATAAAAGCGTAATCTGCAACAGAACAGAATTTTTATCAAGCGTAATCCACTGAAACAAACACGGCGTCCCGTGAATAAACAGTAGAAACACGACTAAATATCAATATATAATTGTTGAAGGATACTAGCTAAACCTCTATAGATGTCTATCTGAGGTAACTAACTAAATATAATCAAAGGATATAGTGTGTCGGGAGACACAGGCGCTCTCACGTCCAGCTCACTGGGCGAAGAAGGAGAGAGTGAGGCACATGGGTGGAGGTGGCGCCCTCGTTCCCGCGCTTGTGGAAGGGAGGTAACTCGTGCTGAGTACTAATTAGTGATTTTACATTGAAGGGAGCTTCAATTAGGGAGATACAAGTGTTCCACTATGTTCGCAAGAAGAAGAAGACAAGCAAAAAGAGCATGAGTCAGGATAAGGAAAAATAAAGGATATAGTGTTGTGTTGGAGACACAGGCGCTCTCCCAACCGTCCACTAGGGCGAAGAAGGAGAGAGTGAAGCGTGGGAAGACGGGTGGGGCCTCTTTCCCGCCAAAACGGCTAGAGAAATAACTCATGGTGAGTAGTGATTTTACGTCTGCTCTTTTGAAAGGGAGCTTCAAAAAGGAGATACAAGTGTTCCACTAAGGTTCGCAAGAGGAAGGAGACAAGCAAAAATACATGAGTCAGGATAAGGAAAAATCAAGAGTATCATATTTCTCCTCATTCATATTTCTGTAAACACTGTCCAAGGAAATTGTGTTCATCAACTGAAGGCATTAACAAGAAGCTTGACTGTCAACACTGGATGTGGGTCTGGGTCCCGATACACAACACATTCATAACGTTATGACCTATCGTAACTATGTACTACATCATTGGTTTATGAATGCCATAATGCTACAAACGCTTTGTAGACAGGGTGCGTGAATGATCATTTCAAAATAAATTTATTATGGCCCCATAGTCAGGACAAACAGGTAGCTAATTTGTCGCCATAGGGTATAAGATAAAAAAAAGATAAGTAGTTCCGGCATGATTGATTGAATAAATGGTCAATCGATCGGTCTCGCTTGCATCAGCAATTATGTATGGGCTCAGGAGACTAATCGATATTCAACATGAAATTAAACTTTGGAAAGTACGAAGGAAAACTAAGTTCTATGTATAGTCAACTTCTTTATTGCAATGAGTGTGACGTTTTGGCATAGGTACTAACACTGTTAGTCTCTCAAAGAATTTGGGAGGTATGGTTGTTACTATGTTTGTTAAATCAAGACATAAACAACTGATGCCGTTTCCTGACTTGTGAAAACGTAAACATACTCGCATGCGTGTCTCAACAGGAGGTATCCTCGATTGTCTTAATCATAGCATTAATCAGTGCCTGTTTTTCGTTTCGCACAAAGTTAAGATTGTGTCACGTTATTATCCAGATGAGTTTTGCAGTGGGGAAACGATTACAATCGATTATTAATTGATTACTGAGCTCCGATTATCGATTTGCATATTGTAACACTAAAGATAGTTTTCGTTCTCAGACTGACCTTTCCCCACTTTCTGGAAGACGTGTGCTGGCACAGGACATTGTTTGCTCTCTCTGTTGGTATATTTTGGAAATCCTGCTCTCCGCACTGTCAGCCTGAATGTGTGTGGAGTTCGACCATCCTCTACCAACCTACATTTCAAAAGAAGCACATACTTATCTACAATGATTACACAGCAGTCATAAGTTTTATTGCCACAACCTTCTCAGGCAGCACTGTTTTGAGGCAATAGTTCAGCATGTGGTTATTGCACATGTAGAGTTCCATTCAGAAATATTCACTAACTTGAGAGTAACAGCTTGGACATGAAGCCTTGATTTATTTAGTGTCCAAATTGTTTTCATTGAAGTGTAACAAAACAGTATTTAGAAATATTTCAAAACTGGAAAAGCACAGTTAAACTGATAACCAAAAATAAATCAGATCCGTTCAACCAGCATCATTTGTATCCATTATGAAATTGCAAAGACAACATACCACATATATTTGACTTTTTCATATTAGAAGACTTTTTGTCAACTTATTTGAGGACTAGCTAATAAATCATTTAGGTAGTAATCCATCAATGTCTTTCTAACCGATAACAGAATGGTGCAACGATGAATGCTACCCGGTGTATCACTCTTCCACACAACAAGTGAGCTGTGGAACATTTTTTCCCCCAGGTAAAAAGAAAGCATGTGTTACTGTTTTTTTAGAAACCCATGAGCAGGTGGTATGGTGCCAGGAAACATGCTAATATTCTCTATTGTGTACTGAAGAACCAGATTCAGCTAGAATGTATGAAGCCTATTTCTGGTGTCCCCGCTGTGATATTGCTGAAATATTGCTAAAAGCAGTATAAAACCACACTCAATCACTCAAAGTTGCAACTCATAGCAACTTAAAATGTCTCAGTTGACTGGGCCAGCCATACCCCTGTATCATACCAAGCGTTTACATACCTCTTTAGGAGACTGGACAATAACTCGTCAATTTTCTGCTGAGTCTGCACAATGGTGCTGCACTTTCTGAAGGAATCCTCATCACTGATTGTCTGATTACAAAAGAAATACTCACAATAACATGCTGCATGTCTAACTTCGAGTGATTAATTATTCTTAACAAATACCTTTAAGTGAGTGAGTTGGGTTTTATGCCACTTTTAGCAATATTCCAGCAATATCACGGCGGGGTACAAATACCTTTGAAATATGCAGTGCAGGTAACTTGCAAGACTGTCAAATCTGCATTCATTTTACATGGATTGCACAATGGCATGTAAATAATTGAAGTGTCTACCATTGGAAAAACATGAGATTCAAATTGATGAACAAACCAAAGTTCATGATTCATGACTATGGAGAACTTAAATCAACACTCTACAAAGAGTGTCTAGAGTTCATCCTTTGTCAGGATTGTGTGGTTGAAACAACTAATTCTTTTAGAGAACTTTACATCATTGAGGGTCTACTGTATACTGTGGTGGAGAACAGTGTGCGAAATAGCCACTGGCCCGCTAGCCTGTGGCTAGTAAAAATCCAGTCGGGCCAGTAAATCTCCACAGTCACTGGCCCGACTGGCTAGTGAATTTTAATTGGGTCATTTTGTAAATATGTCACTCTCTCCGACTTGTTAAGTTATTATACACTTTTAAATCATGTAAGATTGTGGCCTAATAAAGACATATTAGCAGTTTAATGATGAAACCCGTGTCATGCCAACAATATCTTATTCTTATGTATTTTTGTTATTTTGTTTGGTTTCTACATTCAAATTTCGGACTAGTGAATTATTTTGCAGGCTAGTAAATTTCAGGCATAGCTAGCCCGACTGGCTAGCAAAATTTGAAAAGTATTTCGCACACTGGTGGAGAAGCTGTTTCAATTGTGACAACAGGTTTATTAACATAAGTAAAAACATCTGAGCAGGACAATACCTTGTTTCATTTGCAAGAAATACCTGAGAATATCTACCAACCTGAGGACGACTGTACTGCACCACAGGTGAGTCATCCACTCCATGACTCAGCTGTTTGATGGTGACGGCCATTGTTGTGCCACACTCCTCTGTCAGAGTGGATATGTCACCTTCCTGTAAGTCTCTCACACTGTGGATGCCAGCTTCGGCCAACTTTCTGGACGTGTTCCCTCCTACTCCTGCAACAATGCACAAGATGTTGTCTGGAGCTGGTAATTAACTGATGGGTCCCCAGAACCCTGTGCTCATTGTAAGGAGCCGCCGTATGGATCATAGGTGTCAGACTCAGTGATTAGGTTGATACAGTGTCTATTGGATGGCAGGAGTAGTTGGTCACAAGATTGTCTGGTCTGGACTTCATTATTTACACCCTCAATCACATAGATGGATCATGCTGTTGATCACTGGATTGTCTGGTCCAGACTCGACTCGTTGTACCCCATGTGGGGAACCGAACCCGTGTCTACGGCGTGATGAGCGAAAGCTTTAACCACTAGGCTACCCCACCACCCCATGGTGGTTATGAGTGAGTGAGTGAGTTGAGTTTTACGCAGCACTCAGCAATATTCCAGCTATATGGCGGCGGTCTGTAAATAATCGAGTCTGGACCAGACAATCCAGTGATCAACAGCATGAGCATCGATCTGCGCAATTGGGAACCGTATTCTGTTTATGCAGCTGCCTTTTATGACCAGTATAGGTATAGGAAATAATGGTTGCCATGTTTAAACATACATCAGACTTTGGACATCAGTTTCATCTACATATAAAAAACGCAGTAACACATTCAAGTATGGGCAGTAAGACTGACTGACTGACTGAGTTTGGTTTTATGCCACTTTTAGCAATATTTCAGCAACATCATGGCGGGGACACCAGAAATGGGCTTCACACATTGTACCCCTGTGGGGATTCGAACCCAGGTCTTCGGGGTGACGAGCCAACGCTTTAACCACTGGGCTACCCCACTGCCCGGGCAGTAAGACACAATGTCCAAAATCGGAAATGTGTTAGCACTCTCTAGAGGAACAATAGGTTTCAGTGACATATACCTTGCCACGAAATAAGTTGATCTTGATCTGTCAGGTGATCTGAACATAACTTGATTCCTATGTAAAGAAGGTTGATAGTAATACTAATATGAAGATGAAGTGGGCTAACAAATCAAACATGGCAGCCATATTGAAAATGGGTTTAGAGGTTTCTGAGATTTTTTCAATGCCTTATTGAGATTACCTGGTAAACTTCTTGCCTGGGACAGTGATGAGAGGAGTGTGAAGACACTGTCCGGGAACAGGGTGGTCTGTTGGTTGGGCTTGTGTGTCCCTGCCACGAGTTTTGCCAGCAGTTTGTTGTGCGCTATGCCAGCACAGCAGGTGATACCAAGCTCCAAGTGGAGAGCTTCTCGGATGTCTGCTGCTATCTGAGACCCCACTGCCAGACGTATCCGGCATCCACAGGAGCATTCAGGGACTGCTGACGAACATAGGAGTTAAGTTTAACATGGCTTGAAGAAGTATACTGGCCACATAAAGAAACTGTGCACACAGAAAATATAAATATAGGCACACAGCGTCTTTATACATAAATACAAGTGTGAACATAGCATGTGTTGGAGACAATCAAACGCTCATGAACGTGCCAGGTGACGTGACGTCATTGATGGTGGCCTATGGACTTGCAATGTGTTACTGCACGTGCAGCCTGTGCAGCCGCACACAACATGTGAAACTCAGAAATTGCAGTCACTCTCGAAAGCTTGATCTTTGGTCATTCAAACGTTCACAAATTCACATGAGAAGTCACATGCACATCATGCCAAGATTAACATCTGCTCAACGTCAAGAAGCTATTGGAATGGCTCGAGCAAGAATGAGCCAACAACAGGTGGCAGCACATTTCCAATGCCATCGTAACACGATATCTGCATTGATCAGGCGTTATCGAAACAGTAATGATGTCACCGACCATCCACGTTCTGGGCGTCCCCGACGTAACGACGCCAAGACAGGACAGATGGATTCGGGTGACTCATCTCAGACACAGGTTCCAGACAGCAGTGACAACGTCCAAAACCATTCCCCAGGCCTTCAATGCTCATTTGGTAGCCTCTGTGCGTCGTCGATGCACTGCTGTGCTTCACGCACATGGTCGTCATACCCGTTATTGACTTTGTGACTTCGTCATGTGACCACCTACTCGATTTTTAACTTCTGACGTCATCGTTACGGATTTTGTTCATGTTCTTTTGACATTTTGTTGTGGTCCGATACTTCAGCTTATAAAGTGTCTCTATCATTTCGTCTTTTCTGTGTTGTATTCTAATTCTGAAGGAATTTTCTGAGCGCAGTTTCTTTATGTAGCTAGTTTATTTAAGTTTTATCATGGCAAGGAGCTGACAAGCCTAGAATCGTAACCAGGATGAACTGCTAGTTTTTTGTTTAATGCCACACAATTTTTCAGCCAAATGACAAGGTCTGTAAATATTCACATCTGAACCACACAATCCAGTGATCCAGTGAGTGAGTAAATGTTGCTTAAAATCATATCAGCAATTTTGCTGCTATTCGTGGCAATTGAGATAAGTTGACCTGCATCAACCAAGTCAGCAAGCCTGACCACCCAATCCCATTAGTTACATCTTACAAGCATGGGTTGCTGAAGACCAATACTAACCCGAAATATTTACGGGTTAATTCCTGTGACTGTCAGTTCATGCACATATTTGTCGTTAAAAATTTAATTCAGGATAAAAGGGAAAACATCTCTGTTGCAAATACATTTTTACAAACCTGTGGAGGTTATGAATTCTTTGAAGAAAGTCCTCCTTGGGGTACATATAAGCATTAAAATGTCCATTTTAAAATACCTACGACAGTTCTAACAATATTTCAATAAAATGTTTTACCAAACAAAAAACTTGTTTTGTTTAGTGAGACCACCCCTACAGGGCCCCTCACAGGGCCCCCTACAGCCAAGAGCAGGTAACTCTGGCTGCAAACCTCGTACCTCACTTTTCATGCTAAACGTGTCAGACAGAATGAGGGGAGATGGGCGGCCGTACCCCAAGGAGGACTTTCTTCAAAGAATTCATAACCTCTACAGGTTTGTCAAATTCTTTTTCAAAAGAAGTCCTCCTTGGGATACATATAAGAATAAGACACACTCCCAACGATGGCGAGTCAGGAGCGGTATTCTGTCTGGCTAATATACCCTCTAGTTCAATCGACGACACAGCCAAAGCCGAGAGAGAGAGAGAAAAACACACTTACCGAGTCACGTGAACGCTGATGTCAATCAGGCGGGGGCGTGGCAAAGTGGGGTAGAAGGAGCCTAGCTTATATGCTACTGGCGAAATTATAATGACGGACGTAAGTCCCACCCCCAAACATCAAAATGGGAAGGAATGTATGGGCAAGTCCTAAATATTCCGCTCATAATCCCAAACCAGCGATGCGTGGTGCAGGGAGGTAAAACAGTGGATATAGCGTATAACAATGCTAGAGCCAATAAAATCGGTAAAAACCACCAACAATATGATACCACCACCGATAAAAGTTGTGGAATTTTTATAACAGACACCAGGAAGTAAAAACAGTCGTGACTTCGAAAACTCATACGGCTAGAGAGTCACAACACTGCCCACTGGTGAGAACTGTCCGGCCAAACCGAGCACGTTACCCATGAGTGTTTGTTCAGCTGATAATGGCGGTTGAACATACTTGGTCGGCTCCAAATAGCCGCTGAGCAGATCTCCTCAATGGGCAGTGCCGCGGCATATGCCTTTGATGTAGCCACTGCCCTAACCGAATGAGCCTTTAACCCATCAGGAATAGTTAACCCTTTGTGAGTGTAACTCATACAAATGGCAGAGACAAGCCACCTAGATATGGTCTGTTGTTCGCTGGAAGACCAGCCTTACCACCGCCATAACAGCAGAACAGCTGCTTATCTTTCCTGATAGCAGACGTTCGTTTGATATAAACCTTGAGAGTCTTACAGACATCTAAGACGTGAGCGCGTCGAAGAGAGGTACCCGACGATGGAGGCTGAGTGAAAGCTGGTAGCTCAATAGGTGCCGTTATGTGAAAGGCGCCTGCGATCTTAGGACGGTAAGAGTCTGTCAACCGAATACTGACTCTGTCTTTGTGAAAGACAGTCAGAGCAGGATCCGCTGACATCGCATGGATATCGCCTACTCGCCGGCCAGTCATTACCACCACAAGAAAGGCAGCCTTCCAACTTAACAGCTGGAGTGAAAGAGACTACAGATCGTAAAGGAGAGGACCGGACATCCAATCAAGAACGGGGGACTAATCCGCCGGACAGTTGGACGGATTCTGTCCACGCCTGCCAAAAAGCGCTGCACAAGAGTGTGCTGCCCCAAGAGAGCACTGTCGGCAGGTACATGGAAGGCAGAGATTGCCTTGGACTAGCCCCGGATAGTACACGCGGCTAAGCCGGCCTCTAGCCGAAACTGTAAAAACTCCAGCACTTCAACTACAGTTGAAGAAAAGGGATCGAGAATCCCTCTGCTGACACACCAGCGCGTATAACAGGCCCATCTTTCCTCATATTGAACATTTGTCGAAGCCAGAATTGTGTCTGCAACTGGTGCAGGAATTCCGCCTGGAGGCGATTCCAGACAGTGGCCAGGCCACCCACTGAATCCTGGGATTCGGGTGCGGCGCTCCGTTCTGGGATAGTAAGTCCGGTCGAAAGGGTAATAGTACAGGAGGCTGAGCCAGAAACCTGAGTAGTACCGGAAACCAGCTTTGAGCTGACCAAAGAGGTGCAAGGAGCACAAGTAGTCGAGCTGGTTGGGTGGCAAGCTGCAAGAGGACCTTGGGAATCAGGGCTAATGGCGGGAACACCCACAGAACCCTGTCCGTACAATTGAGCTGGAAGGTGTCCGAGGCGATGGCTCTCGGATCCGGTATCTGAGAGCAAAATACCGGAATCTGGTTCGTCCCTCCAGAAGCAAACAGATTCACCTGGAACGACCAAAACAACTGGGAGATAATCCCGAATATCTCCCGATTGAGCATTCACTCATGCGGGGCCAGGATACGTCGAGAGAGAGTGTCTGCTCGAACGTTGTCCGCCCCAGGGAGATAAACAGGCATTACCCGTATGTCAAACTGGTCGCACCAGAGCAGAAACTGCCACGCCTCCTGCAGGAGAGACAGGGAAACCGTACCGCCCTGCTTCAGGATATAGGTCATTGCTGTTTGGTTGTCCATCTCCAGACGAACCACACGGCTTCGAACCTGCTCCCAGAAGCGTTCGAACACAAGCCGGACTGCTCTCAATTCTCGCTCTCTGACCACAGGCCTGAGACTGACAGGTCGTCCAGCATGCCCCCCCCCACCCTGTGAGGGAGGCATCTGTCTGAATCGAGAGATCTCGTGAAGGGATGTCCAAGGGGATCCCCCTGGATAAATTCCCTGCCATTGTCCACCACTGCAAATGAGGAATTAGCCACCCTGGAGTGTGGAGAATCAACTCTTAAATCCGGGAGTAAACCTACATTCGAGCCAAAGCTTGCTGAATGGGTCGCATCCTCTCCACCATTGCCGCCATGTTGCCTAGCAACTGGAGCCAAGTCCGAGCTGAGGCCCTGGAGGACTCGAGAAATTGTAACACAACTCTCTGGACTTTGGTGATGCGGTCTGGAGACAGGGAGACTACATCGAATCTCGCTCCCAAGAAAACCAGATCCTGGATGGGGACCAGTTCTGACTTCTTGAGATTGATAATCCAGCCCTACTTGGTGAGTATACCCATCACGGAAAGTGTCGAAACTCGACTCAAGTGAGTGGCAAGTGCACGAGGGAGCCAATCGTCTGGGTACGGCTGACAGCACCTGCCCTGGTTTTTTTTTGGTAAAATATTTTATTGAAATATTGTTAGAACTGTCGTAGGTATTTTAAAATGGACATTTTAATACTTATATGTACACCAAGGAGGACTTCTTCTGAAAGAGAATCTGAATTCTGAAAAAAAATCAGTTCAGTAAATTTGTGCAGATTAAAATCAAGTGCCGAACTTACAAACAACTGGTGTAGAATTTTTAATGAAAGGAACACTATTATTTACTCAAACAACGTGACCATGTCTAACTGTTGCCTTAAGATCTGGTGTTTATCAATACCTGGAGTCTCCGTTTCAGAATCGTACACAAAGCCAGTAGTTTGGTGAGTGTAATCGTTGAGTGATAGTCGTTGCTCTACCATGTCACTCACATCGAGGTAGTTCTCATCAAAACCCAGTCTCTCAACCTTGGCAGTGTACTTCTGTAGAAATTCTGAAAGCAAATGATAAACACTGTTTTTGCCCGAGTAAATTGTTTAGAACACTTTCAGTGTTTCTAGTTTCTGGACCGAAAGCTTATGTTTCAGCAATATGAGTGAGACAAAGTGGCTTAGTACATGGCACCACAGACAGTTGATATGTGGGACACTTGCTGTTGACCGAGAGGACGCACCTGCTACTACTGAAGGACACACAGGTTTTGGGGTTGTGCTGACCTGTTAGATTGTGTCAACTGGCAAAAACATAATCATGGCATTTTGTCAGATCTCAGAAATTAAGAAACAAAATAGTGCAACTCTTGTTAGACATAGTGAGTGAATTGTTTATGCTATGATCAGTAACTGGCAGCAAATAGAACAGCTTATAACATGTCATTAATGAAGTTTCGACATTGCTGTTTACTTAAGACAGACTTCAAACCACTGTCTCTTGTACATGTCCAGTCAAAGTCTAGACAACAGGTAATGCTACGTGAAAGGAATGCAGAGTCTAGGCTTACTCCTTTATTCCACATGTCGACAACATAGTCATAATCAGAAACTCCAGATCATACCGTGAGCGTAATAATATGTCAAGCACCTCATGTCCAACTCACACTCAGTCACCAATCCCACACGCCTCAACCCAGCGCATGCACATAGGCGGCTTAGCAGACGACAGCAAACCATTTGTACAACACTATCTGCGACATTTTCTATATGTGATACAAGTAATAATTCACTACTATGAAAAAAACCTAACTACTATGCCAAAAAGCAACAGCTCAGGACCCAGAAGAAGGATACCTGATATCTTGTAGGACATCTCTCTGTAGTGTGTGAGGTCTTCTCCATTCACCAGAACAAGGTCCGGACATTTCTCCCGGGCATCTTTGATACTCATCAGCTTCGTCAGCCCTCTCGCCCTCGCCACGTAGTTACAAGTGACGATGATGTACTTCTGTTGTATTCCTGGTATTGAGGGAAGGAAGCAATAAAACCAAAGTCAATATTCCTAAACATAGGCATTTCCGACATTGTATTGATGCTCTAAAAGGTCCAGGTAAGTACATATTCCAAATCAGTTTCATCCGTCCAAAACTGTAATCATGGTAATGAATAGAACACTTGATAACATGATGTCATGTGTCATGCAGCCTACATGTACCATGTCCAATCAAATACCTTTGTAACTACGCAACCCACATATTCATTTTCAGGTTTCCTTTCCAGAATTACTGGGTCACTGTTATGTCAACAGCTGAGTGAGGCAGCATTTACCATGTTTGTAAGAGACAAGAAGACCTGCATACCTGGTATTTAAGATGGAATGCATACAGGACCCTGTTTACTTACCCAGTGGTTTCTTGCGTAGATGAGGATTGCGGATCATTTCAACCTGAGCGTAGAAGCAGTCAATGTCAATATGGATGATGGTTCTCTGGTGACCCAGTTTGGACATCAACATGGACTCACCTGCACAAACATAGCTTATTTTTTAAATATACTTACCCAACAGATTTAGGCACATAATGCATGCAGCTAACCTTGCTAATCCAGATCAGAGACCATATCATAAATTATATTTATTATGTGGCCCCTGTCCAGATTAATCTAGATGGTTTTGTTCCCAAAGAATCACCTAGATTAACAAAGCATGGCTCCAAAGGCCTGATGCAGGCTGCACTGACACTGTCACTCTTTATTTATGTTTGGAAACACGTGTTAATGACAGACTGAGTGTGACAACGGGGCCACTGCATGGGGCAATATCGTAAAGTGGATATGGTTGCTTACATTGCGTATTCCGTTTACTGCAAATGGACGGCGGAACAACTGTTCCCACTTCGTCAACGGGTCGACTCCAATCTTCGCCATCCGACTGCGCGTCATCGTTGTCAACGTCGGAATACATGTTATGCAACTTCGTAGTGACACTGCCTCCCGCGAAATAGCATTTACTGCCCTGTCCCGGAAGTTACCTCCCCTTAATACCGTAAAAGGTGGGGGGTCATTTGAGCCAATACAGAGCCAAGTTCATATCCGCATGGACGTCAACTGTCCATGTTAGGTTCATCAACCTGCAGATTCTAGGACAGATAATCTGCAATATTCATCGCAGCAAAGATCATTTATAAGATTGCAGGGACATAAATTGAACAATGGAGACACAATATTATACATACATTGTATATTAAATTTTATATCACCCATTAGGGTTTAATCTTAGTATCATAACTTTGTATTATAACTTAACTGGTATTTGCACATGCTTCTCAAAGCTGATTCGCCATTTGAAGACAATCAAATGATGTCACAGTGCTTCACTGTTAAGAAAAAGGATCGACGTCATTCATGTTTCGGGATGACATCACAGACCTATTATATTACGTCATCTGAACAATGGTCTGCGCTCAGTGAACTTTGTCTGTAGGGTTGATACTCAACGATTTCCATCATTTGCTCCCACAAAATGTCAGTGAGTATTCAGAAAAGCCTACACTCAATTAACAATTAACAGATTATTTGTCCCCAGAGAAGCATTTTCATCCGTAGCCAGTCGGGGGGGGGGGGGAGAAGAGCAATACTCAGTGAAACGTGCAGAAATTATTACCACATACAATCGCTTGTTAGAAATTCAGTCTGTATTGTGTCCCTTTTGATTGTTGCGAAAGGAGTCAAATTAATTTTTTTCAGAACGAGGAAACAAGAAAATGATACAAATGCAGCTGTTTTATGTTTTATTTTTCTACATATTATCTGTCAACCTCAAGCAAATTGGGTTTTTTGCTATGTTCCAGCCTCACCATCCCCATTTGTTTGACTTTTTATCTTGGTTCCCCCCAAACAAAATCTGCAATAAATGCATCACAAACTGCAGGAAACAAAATATACTTGTGCATGTGAGATGGGTAGAAGTCCGCTAGAATGAAAATTAGATATTAAAGTGCATAAATAAAGCAATTTGAAACTACAATCGCTTGTTAATGTGACAAGCTTGTTCGTGTTTAGTGAAAGAGCTTGTTTTGGAGACACTACCCATCCCCTTTCAGATGGCGTAATCATAAGGACATAACTTATACTAATGTTTTCACTTATTAATACATGATGCCAAGGGTTCAAACTAAATGCTGAATGGTCACACAAGTGTCAGCTCTCAATATATTGTAAACAGAGCCAGCTTGAATATCTGGACACAATTTTTGGGGGGGTGCTTAAAATACAGCCCCCGTCTAAATCTAAATCAAGCCATCCAAATCTTCGACTGTTGATTATAACGGGAAGTCATCCAATGTTATACTGAACATATTTTATAGGATATTTTCTAATGATTCCTTCAAAATAAAATGGAAGCTTTTCAAACATTGGACATCGAGAATATAGTTAGGCTCACTATTTTTTTATCGCCCCTCGTAATTATGCACAGTGTAGTGTGGACATGTTTTCATATTGCAAAGAGTGACTAGTGCCAAAGGTGGCTGTCTTTATCAACTCATCACGAATATTACGACATGAGCAAGAACTCTAGCGTAGCACAGATTAGTCAGAACGGTGCTATTAAGATAGCTGGAATATTGCTGAGTGCGGCGTAAAAGTAAACTCACTGACTAACTATTAAGAAATATACTCAACGCGAATGTTAACGCGACAAAGAACAGAATCAAGGTTGAACTTTTTCTTCCCCAAACGGAATGTTATTACATGTAAATACAAATGTTAGTAACAATCAACAGCCCACATGCAAATGAGCCACAAGTTGAGTTGGGTTTTACGTCGCATCGGCATTATTTCAGCCACATCACGACTAAAACGTGAGTGAGTGAGTTTAGTTTTACGCCGCATTTAGCAATATTCCAGCAATATCACGGCGGGGGACACCAGAAATGGGCTTCACACATAGTATCCATGTGGGGAATCGAACCCGGGTCTTCGGCGTGATGAGCAAAAGCTTTAACCACTAATCAAAATGAGTCACAAGAGAAATGCACAGGCAAGTTGAAGCGAGTGAGTCCACTTAGTGCAATCATGCAGGCCTAGAACACTCGCCTCACTGAGATCACTAAACTTCGATAGTCATGGGGAGGATCATTCCATATCCGAGAAAGGATTTGGCGGAGTTCCTGCAACGTTCCTGGAGGATTGTGATGACGTTGTAAACGTCGTTCCATTTCATCCCAGACGTGGTCAAACAAGGAATCTTCCGGATAAGGTAACACATTAACGCTGTGCTGATTAAGACACTGCTGTAGAACTCGATCAACGTTTGGTCAGGCGTTGTCGCCTTGAACGTCACTCCAGGGCCGTCATGTTGCAAAAAACAGTAATGTGGTTATTTGCAAAATTTCGTCTCTGTACCTCACATCAATTAAGGTCCCCTTAATCACAATCGATATCATTGGCGTCCCTCCTGCAGCTCTTATTTCGTCCCAGATCATAACGTCACCTCCAAAACGATCGCCTTCCAGAACAGATGACCTGATGTAACCATCACCTGTACGGCTGAAGACCTGCCGTCAGCTCCGTGAAGAAGGAAACGTGACTTAACGGTGAAAAGAACTCTTCTCCCCATCATAAGTGTTGGTTGTTCCACATGAGACGTCGACGTCGATATTCTGGTGTCAGAGTTAGCCGATGGGCTGGGCGTCTTCACGGATGCCGCAGACGCGTATTGACGTCATCGAACGGACTTCGCAGATCATGGGGCCTCTGTTGCCAGGGATGGTACGGACTGGAAGGGTTGCAGACTGAAAACCAGGCGCGTAGCAAGTCATTTTTTTCATGTAAGCTCAATAGGTTGCAAAGCTTTATATTTCGATAGTATTAAGTGCTTGCCCAACTTTCATGCTGATCTTTAGCAAAAAATCATGTGTAAGCCCAGGCTTTTTTTCATAATTGTAGCTACGCCCCTGACAACTGTCGCAGGTACGTGGTTCGACTACATTGGTCTTGACGTGGGGTCGTTACTGGCAGGCGGCCCATATGAAGCAGACTATAACTGGACAGTTTTGCTGAAAACGTCACATAAATACCAAATGGTGTTTCTATAGACGTTGAATCGACGAGCAGCATCTGTCTTTTTCATCGAGGCGTAGCATGTCGAACCTTTTCCACGCTGAATCTGCACTTCTTATTAAGGCTGCATTGAGTGTAAATGATACGCGTTCGGTTGTCTGGCCTCTTAAAATGAACATTGTTCTTGAATATGTCATGCTTCTTGCATATTTCATGCAATTCGAACAACAACTGTTTGACTGCGTTTCTCCTTTTAAACACACCCTTTCTCTGGTTCAAATCCAAAAATCCATTAACAAGATTAACAATGAAAACGTCCCATGTCACAATAACTTTTATAGGTTGCAAACTGCCGCACAGATACGGCTGCAACTGGTACCTGTTATAAGAGTGCATACCCTGCCAGTGGGATAATGTCTGCACAGATAATGTCTGCATTTGTGTGTACGACGTCCACGTTCCATCACAAAACTTACTGCACGTCATTGGAAATAGAGGTGTCATTGGTTCAGGGAATCCCAGCATCTGGGTGGACATTTGGCTATTTCCATGTTTACTGTCGAATCGGCGTTCCCCATCGACCTCAATGACAAGAGGACGAGTTTGGAGACGTCCCAATGAGGGCTTTAGTAACGTCGCACACAGGGGCGGATACAGCTTTTTGAGAAGGGGGTGGGGGGGTTTTGCACACTATTGAGAAAAGGAGGGGTGCACACTTCATTTTCACCCAAGTTTCAATGGTCATTAAACAAACTTTCAGCACAAAAGGGGGGGCACACCTGCAAACACCACACACACACACACACACACACACACGGTTCAACGTATGCTGCGCACAGTTTGGGGGTTGGATCAATGATGGTATGGGTGGTTATCATATTCACACTTTGCTAAGGATCCAATTATGGATTGAACAAAAAACTATGATTTGGGGTCACATTGGATTTAAATATCTGAGCTTATTGTAAGCATGGATCCTAGGTTTCAGTGTGCCATTTCATCTTGTGCTATTGACAGGTGTTGTGTACTTGTCAATGACTCTTTCCATGATTTGCAAAATGGTTGATTGGTGCCATGAAAACTATTTTTATGGTTACTCATGTGTCAAGTGCATAAGGTTAGATTAAAGTGACTGTTTGCCTAAAGAGAGGTTACCATGTTATTATTTATCCAGTTTTAAATGGATACAATTTCAAATTATGAATCTACTTTTAAGTAAAGTTGTGAATTTTTGTGATCCTTAGCAAAGAGTGAGCAGTATATTAACTGGCCGATCTTCGCGCCATATTTGCACAATGTGTTGGGCATCGTTTCATCTATCAAGGTGATAGTGCATAATCACTGCATATGCTCATCGAGCAAGGATTGTTACCCAATTTCTCCAACAGCTGACGTCATTACATGGCCAGCACAGCCCTGACATTTGAACACATGAGGCCAGCTTCAAAAGCCCATAAAACGTTAACAAGGGACGGATGATAAACCCAATAAGCTCGCTAAAAACTTAACAGAAGTGCGATAATAAATAAAAACGAAGAATCGTAAGCTTTGGTTTCCAACATTCCTTTTTTTGACATTTGTAGTATCCATTAAAAGGTCCGTTGTAAGTGAGAAGGAATATTTTTGACGGATTCCGTTGAAATAGATGTTCATCAACTCAATTTACAAGCTCAAACCATTGTACATGTAATCTAATGCCCGACTTCTTTCCCTGAATACATGTTACTTTTCCCGTTTATGATACCTACAACCTACAAAAAAATGATCAATACACACACTGTCTGGTTCATATTTATATTAAATCAAATTCATGTTTTGCGTTTCAGTGGATCTAAAAAACTGGGGGACTGCATCTCAGACATAATTTCCTTCCATGATTAAGTCGACAAGATTATTGTCTTGTAAACGGCATGCGTTTGGTGGGAGGGTGTTATAAGTAGATAACAAGATGATAGTATTCCTGAAAAATCATTGGGTTTTTGGCCCTGGTGACACCATGGGTACTTGATGCATGACATCATCTGCATGCGTTTTGGCATCATGTCACTGGCTGAAGGCTCTCTGTCAGAGTCCTACTATATTTTGGTAGGGAAGGTAGTCATTCTGAGCTTATACCATCTCTGCAACTCTTATAGAGTATGATGGCACATTTGCATGATTCCATGCCAACAGATCTGTTTCACATGTCAAAAGGATTATATAATTGTCACAAATCATCTCTGGTTTGATCAATCAACGGATAATAATACCAGAGATTTGATTCCTCTTGTAACTGTTAAATGGAACATGAGAACTATAACGGTTGCATGTGTGAACGCAGTAATGTCCAAGACACCAATACTTCAGTAATGAAATCTTATTTTCGTGATTTTTTGTTCTAAAAGTGACATTGATAAAATACTTAGCTCTTGTTAAGTGTTCGCATTCTGAAAATACCAAGTCGGATTGGTACCCTCTGAGATGATGTTGATGCTGACTTGTTTGCAAACATTCTTGCGTCTGGTACCTTAGGTAAAGGTGTAGATGTCAACTGAGAATATCAGCTTGGGACTTCATTTGAAATGGCACAGCAAAAACCCATGGCCAGAAACTGAACAAATGTGAAAACCCATGTCATTGTGGCAGGTGAGGGTGGTCCTTAAATTGATAAATTGGGCTGCCGTTTAAAGTTTGCAACTCAGATCCTGAAGTAAAACTAATTCTAAAGCTAAGACATGTAAAACTTCTATACAAAATGAAATACCTCATGGCATTGGGAAGATGTGAAAGTGTACATATTAAACTGGTTTTACTTTTAGAGCCTTTGGTGAAACCAAAACATATCCAGTATCAGATTTACATCCCATTTCTTATCTATACCCAATTGCCCAACTCATGGTCCCCTTGTTTACTTCAGATGCAGGAAATTCCTATACATGCGACTCCTTTTGTACTTGATGAAATACACCATATACAAACAGTCAGGTTAACTATAATTGATTGAGTGTTGTGTTAAACTACACTCAGCATTATTCCAGCTGAACATTAGCTGTTTGTAAAGTCTGGACCGGACAATCCAGTGACTGACACAATGAGCATCAATCTATGATACGCATCAACCAAACCAACAAGTCTGACCAACAAGCACAGATTACTGAAGACCAGTACTAAACTGGACTTTCTCAGGTTCATGTCTACAATCTCCACAACAAAAAACAGAAATCCTTGGACATAAATCACAGACTTATTTTATTTCAAGTTGTGAAACCCCAGCTGTGATAATACAAATGTAGAGCCGCTAGCTTGTGAAGCAAGTCCTCCAACACTGGTCTTTCAGATTGGCTGGCAATATTTTCACGTATTTAGATCCATAAATGTCTCCCTGAATTTCCTTCCGTCACCATGTCAGAACACAGACTCTGATCTCATTTGCCTTGATTCAAACGTACTCCAGGATGTTCAGTTTTCAAAACTCTCACAAATCTCCTCTCACACTAACAACACCGCGTTAATACAGCCATCATTCTCGGGGTTGTTGGTAACTTGTGCATATTTACCTGGAAGTAGACACGTATCACTTAGTATCCATTCTTATTTGCAACGAACTGGTTTACTGGTTACTATGGTGACAGTTTGTAGTTATTACCAACAAATAATGCACCCCATGCAACAATCTTGCATTACATCCAGCATAAACATTGGCTCTGTTTCACTGAATGATCTTAAAGATGACACTATAAACCTTGACAACGAGTTTTTGCCTCCTCTCTGTTGACACACGAGTGAGTTGCATTTGCTGCCACTTTGAACAGTATTCCAGTTATATCATGGCAAATCAGCTTTACGGTGGAGGAAATCCTTAAGGAATGCGGCTCTCAGAAGTCTACCACAAGACACCTATGAGCATGGATATGGTGGTAATAAACCTAGAAATATAAATGGGGCAATCAGGATTTAAACCTCCAATCATAGGTGTCTGTCCTGACCAAAAGATTCAATGGTGCTATTTAGGCCAATTGTGTCCCCTTGCATGAAGAGCATCAACAAGAAATGTGTACAACACACAACTAAATTGGTGTGTCCAAACCATGCTGTCCTGAATGTCCATGCACACCATATCTATGATGCCTCAGGCATTGTACGTACCCCAGATAACTTTTCCTCCTTGTGTCACCAGACCCAGCTCACTGATGTTAACCTGCACAGACATCAACGTCATCAGTTGTGTATACATATATAAACAATCAACTTATCAAGTCAAATATTGTGAGTACTGGGTAATTTGAACATTTCCATCATGGTCATACTCCTAGTTACGTCAGGTGTTACTCTACATCAGTACATGTAAGTCTTATGGTGAATTCTATATACTGGTACTGTGTAAGGATAGTCAATATTCCTGCCTGAGAGATCTCTCGTGTTTTTAATTGTCGCTAAACATATAAAACAGGTCATCAGAGATCCTGAAGGTCACAAAATGGCCTCCACCAGTCAGGATGCAGTTAGCCTCAGTTAGAGGCAATACAACCGGTCTGCACACTGCCTTTCTCCAATTATATCACTGACCAAGGGGTAATATGAGAAAATGGTCTCTGTTCTAACCACAATCTTCAGAGGGAAATCCAGTATTAAGATATATTATTCAATATTTAGACATTATTAAAAGAAATTAAACTTCAATTAAATACCTCTATAACTGTTCCCTTTGTAATAACGCCTAGTGATGTGTACATTGTAGAACTTGGGTTTTTCTTGACACCAATAATGGGAAGACAGAATGTGGCTTTCAGCTCAGGATGTGTGACATGTGCCTTTCCGAATCGGAGACCCTGAAATAAAACAATACCTTCATGAAACTCCAAGCATTATGATGGAAATGTATAACCTCTTAATTACCAACTCAGATGCATACGTAAATGTTCCCTTTGATTCACTAACAATCAAACAGGGAGGCCTCTTATACATGTCATATGGAATGTTACTGACACACTCAATTTCATACCAGGTTTTACATTCCACAGAGAAACCAAATTCACACTAAAAGTCTCTGGTAACAGTAAGATGTAGACAAAACAGTGATTATCATAACTATATATTTTTTTATTATAGGATATTTATATAGCGCACATATCCACACACTAGTGCATGCTCAAGGCGCTGTTATTTCCCCCCTCGATCATTGGATGTCAATCTCAACGGCTCATCGTATTATCAATCTCAACTCCCTGGGGAGTATACAACTATACTTGGTCACTGTGTTTGAGTGAGTGAGTGTGTGAGTTTAATTTAACGCCGCACTCAGCAATATTCCAGCTACATGGCAGTAGTCTGTAAATAATGAAGTGTTGTCCAGACAATCCAGTGATCAACAGCATGGCTGATATCTGCCAAGGTCTTGGAAGTCTATTATTCATGATGTAGCATGGTTAGTGAAGTTACTATAGTCTGTTTGCAGTGAAAACGTACCGATGAATTTCACTTTAAACAAAAATGTAAATCAAATAAAGTGAAATTAAATTTGCGAATCCTCATTATTTTACCTTGCCAATTGAACATTTAAATCTCAAACTTTTATTCAAATTAGGATAAAAGTTGTTTAACAAACAATCATAGATTCAAATCGCTATTACTGGTTTGTATTACAAGGGGGGTAAGTGCAGTAGTTGGAACAGTGAAACAAATGCACATGCGGTACGTAAAGAGCGTTAACTTATAACAACCCTTGTCATTTTCCGTGTTTCATTTGATGTGCATACCCCCCTTGTAATAACAGACTATAATGATCGCCAATAATTCACAAATTTCAATCATTTTGATACTTTATTGACACGATACCACAGAAACTCATGAAGCAGAAGAGCAATCCCATATACTTATCCATCCATTGTTACATGCATCTTGTTATTTGACACTTGCTATAGAACACAGATCTAACAAATACAGGTATACACACCATCGGTCGAATGAATCTTTCAAACTTTGGTGGTTTCCTTGTGAAACCTTCTCCCACAAATGTAACCTTGGTGACCATTCTCTTCCATGCTTTCCCTGAAAAAGGAAAACAGGATGTTTACATAGGTGGTGTGTTACACGAATGTTAGGTGCATAGCCCAGTTCAATACTGGTTGTTATCTCCCTTTCCGTATTGTCGCCCTTGTTTTTCCCCACTGCAACAATCTTCCGTATCAGGAGACTGAGGTCAGTAGTAAAAGTGATAAACAATAATACTAAAACAAGCTTTACTGATATATATCACTTCAGTAACATGTAACATCATTACTCCTGAGATATGGCTACAATCAAATTGCATAACAACATTCTGCAGACGAGCATGAAGTCATCAGTTCCCAAAGTCAAAAAGCTCAGACTCAACTCTCAGCAAATGCAGCTGGTCAGCTCTACCTTTTACATGTAAACCACTGGTTACTTCAGTTTCAAACTGAAATAAAGTTAGATGTATGTCTTGTAACCTTAACCATATTATACTCACGTTTGGTTTTTCCAGTCTTGACCACTTTGAAAACCTCTGATTCACTCATTCCTTTAACTTTAGGAAGAGGAACATCCCACTTGCCCTGAGAAAAAAATGTAGATTAAATATCCCATCATGATAAATTATACTAACTTGATCTCCTACTTAGTTTTCACTGAAATTATTATACCAATATCAGAAGGATTGCTCAGTCGTACCAAAAATGAAAATGATCACAAAAACTATCAGACATTAAGCAAACTACCATATATGACAACCAATACAAACATCAGAGGATTCTAAAGACAAAACTAAAAGACTTACAGTTGAAACAAGATGCAAGATACAGTATAACAAAAGACCTATTAAAATACTTACAGCTTTTTCTTTCCTCTTCTGTTTAATCATGTTAGACAGGACCTTGGCCCTGGACTGACCCTCTCTGTCCAGCAGATAGGCTGGCACTGCTCCCTGAGGAACCTCATCACTCTTCTTCTGCTTCGTCTTCCTCTCCTCATGCATCTTGATGCTATAACAATGTCAATTGTTGGCTGAGTGAGAGAAAATGGTCTAACACAGCTCTCGAACTGATTTCAGTAATATCACACCATGTTGTTTGTCCACTGAACTATCATGAGATCAATATGGAATCATGTTCAAGTCTTGTTTTCATGTTACTCTTTAGAAGTGGCATCTTAATTGGTATTCATCAATGGACAGTGACTGAATGAACAACTGACTACCGTTTGCAAATGTTATAACTGGTGCCATGAGTGAAGGAGGAAACGTGTCCTCGTGATAGTCGGAATAGTACAATCGATTCTGCATTTAGCAGAGATTTCTCCTGGAAGTGAGAAGGGTTTTGTGGCTTTATTATTATAGATGTTGGTAGTTTGGGATAAAACACACAAAAGAAATAGCTGATTCGGGGGTTCTTCATAAGTTATTCTGAATATGATGTCATGGGTGCTGCGTTATAGCCTGTACCTATGTGCATCACATAGGATCTACCTATTACCTACTGTATCCAGTCTTGCAGTTTTACCCTTAAATGGCAAAAGTTTTGCATTTGGCATAATAAGAGGATATTACAGTAACATAGCATTTGTAACACTGCCAACATAGTCAATGAGTTCTAATGGGACTTACGTCTTCTTCATCTGTATTTTTTCTGAGTGCCTCTTCTTGTTATATAATTTTGCTCTGAAAGGGAAACAGTAATTTTTAAAGTCAACCTAAACAAATGATTACCTTAAATCAAGTTTTACACTACATGTATTAAAGGAGTTCAAGTCTCCATAAATCTAAATAGTTGGTGCATTATGTAATGCCACACACAGAAATATTACATCTATATATGGCAGTGGTATGTCAATATTCGGGTCAAGGCCAGACAATCCAGTGATCCACATGAGCATCTATCTACAAAATTAGAATATGATGATGTGTCAACCCGACCACTAAATCATGTTGATAGCTTCTTAAGGTAAGCATGGGTTGCTGAAGACCAATCTAAATAATTCCTCATTATGTTCAGTCAATTCACATGCCGTCCAAACTGTACTTACTTTATTCCCCGTAGTTTCTTTGCCTTCTCTGCCAACTCGTGGGGCAGACGGCCTTCCTTTTTTCCTCCTGAAAGGTTTCAAATCATAACAGAATATTAATTTACATTTGCTGGCAATTGGCATGATTGAGGACATATGTGTATTTTGGTATCTGCTAACTAAAGTCTTACATCTACCCATTGCTATGATGTTATGTCAACTTACTTCTTTTCTTCATAGTTAAGTCTGCGTCCATGCCTCTTTTGATGGAGTTCTATGTGCTCGTTCTGTGGCTGTAAACAAGAAATTTCAAAAGCTATAAAATGTTTGTCTTAGTGTTTAATTCATAATCGTACAAATAATTTACCAAGTTTACAAAGTTAACTGGGACAAATTCTGACCATTTAACCAGTTCATAATCATCTAACCTCAGTTTCACTCTGATCCAATGGATATTCTTGACTCAATTCTAAGAAACAATGGTTCCTTGCAATGTTGTATAGAGATTGATTATTCGAAATATGACCAACATCAAAAGTTAAGTGTTTATTACTGATACTTCATCATATTTTAAAACTTGTACTGTGAGTAATGGACTTCACTATGTTTATTGGGGAGATATTTGACATTTTCAGGTTGAAATTAATCCAGTTAGAGGCAACTTCTAACTGAAACCATGGACTATCACAAATAATTAGTGTCCGTTCACCGAGTCATCAAATGTTTACCTTTATGGGCAAGCAAGGACATTTATTCTCTGTGTCTAACTTGCGAGTGGTGCCAAACTATAATCATGATAATGATCGTACAAGGGTGCTTGATTAGGAAGGGATCCAAAGCTAATAGCAGATTTGGGTAACTGAAAAAGTGTATATCTGTATGTATGAGAACGGTCCTTTATGGTTGAAAAGGCACAGACTGAGCCAATTGGCACTACAGCACTTGCCCGGTAAACCACATTGATGCCCAACTCTATTGGTGACTTCATTTTGGTTGGGTATTCACCCTGATGCTTATGACTAGAGGAGGAATATTTGCCTCGAGCAGAAATTATTTTCAAAATTTATATTTGCGGTCAGAAATAGCATATGTAAATTCTAAGAGTTACCATATTGACAGTGTGTCAGTTGTTGGTGAATCCAACAAGTGTTGAATGTGTGGCGCCAGTTATTCACAACACAGTTGTGAAATCCACATCAAAACAACACGCTGACACTGTACAAAGGAAGTTGAGCAATGGGCATGCGCTGGACTTTCTAAAGATCTGAACGGGGATTTATAGTAGAAGTCAGCCTCTTTATTCGTAGGCATCGGGTATAAGTGTTTTCTGGGTTTTAAAAATACACAGAAAGGATATTCTAATTAGAAAAATCCAATCTACTTTAGCATAGTTAAAGGTTTAGAATCATTATTCGGAAATGTTTACAAAATGTTCACGTCGAAGGGCAGGCAACTCTAATGTATCCGGTAAAGAATAGCAAAAGGTAATCTCATGATAAGTAAACAGACCACCCTTCCTGATGATTGTCATGAATTAGCCTATTGACTAAACATATTCGGGGGCCACACATTATTTAGAAAAGAAGAAATTGCAGTCAAAGTAAATCGTATCTAGGTGTGGCTTATGTCGCTGTGGGATTGAATCTTAGAATCACGTTCGCAGGCACTTATCCATTTTTTCTGAGTCACAAACCCATACCCAATTAACAACCCATACCTACACCCTTTATCGGATGTATTCTTCCTAATAGAATAGACAAAAGAGAACAGTGTACGTGGTATTAATTATCCTTTGCATGCGATAGAAGTTGAAGCTGGCATGTAGACCTAATTATTATGCTTGTGTCATGTTCGAGGCCATAGTACAGCTTCAGAAGTCAGTCATATATTTTTCTTTTAAATTGTGATGCTTGGTTACATTGGTATGTTGATTGCATTTTTAGATTGTCAAGACAGCTGTTTCCTGCATACAGCTTTTTGGGGCTAGTTCGTGTCGGATATACTTTCATGATATATGGCTCACCATTCACTGACCCTCTTCTTCATCAAGCCTTAGGTTAGTAATCTTGAGTTGGATTGTAAAATGTAGTTTACCCCAACACACCAAACACCCATTTACAACTTTTAATGTAATGTTACAACTTTGGAGGTTATTACAGCGATACTAACTCACTAGTACAGGCACCTGAATAAATATTTATCATTTTCTGGCAGAATATCATGAATGTTTTTTTTTTTTTTCAAAATGATCTTTTAACATTTTGTAATAGTTTCCAACATGTTTAAAATAGTTTCATAATGTATTTGTAATTTATCTAAACAATTATTTTGATCACCTAAATGATCATTTCCAGTTCCAGACAATGGAAACCGATTCTCCATCGGATGATGCAGAAAGTGAGATACCAGTGACTTTGTGTCCAATGGCCAACATTCCAGATTCTCTCCTTCTCAGTATCTTCAGCAACTTGGCTGCAAAAGATGTCTTAAAAGCTTCTCAGGTGTGCAGTCGGTGGCGAGCGGTGGCATATGACGAGAGCCTATGGCGGCAACTAGTGCACAGGAAGTGGAGTATCAGTGGCAAGATCGCGCCGGGTTACTGCTCCTGGAGGAACGAGTACAAGAGGTTGTATTACTACGCTCCTCTGGTCTGGAGTGAGACACTCACTGAACACTCAGATGAAGTTCTACATGTTAGCTTTGCACACAATGGATCCCTGTTTGCCACAACATCAAAGGATTGCTCAGTGAAGGTATGTTAGGACTGAATCTTTGATTCATGTTTCAGGGTTTACATATACTGATTGATTGCATTTTGTAATCCAACTGTGTTCAGAGAGACTGAAAATAAAAACATGAGAGATTTTTATCAGAATGAATGAATAACATTTTTCCTACTTGCCAACACTTCTACCATTTATTCTACACATCAACCATTCTGCCATTTGCTATACATGTCAACACTTCTACCATTTGCTGTACACGTCATCAGTACTACCATTGTCTTCCATTTATTCAACATGCTCAAAATACCCAAAAGTCCACATGGCAGTGCATGCAAAAAATACTGCTGTGTATATAACAGATACCTGTAACTAGAGAAATAAACAAAGAGAGTTTAGTGTGTAACATCAAAGAAAGGAACAGCTCAACTAGTCTTGTGTCTTTGATCTTTATGGATTTTCTGTTGAACATGGTGAAGCATTAGGAACAGTTCATCTTCTTGTTTGTTGTACCCGTGAAGATCTGGGTTAGAATTGATCTTCATTATCCTATGCTTGTCGTAAGAGGCGACTAACAGGATTTGATGGTCAGACTCGCTGACGTGGTTGACACATGTCATTGTATCCCAATTGAATAGATTGATGCTCATGTTGTTGATCACTGGATTGTCTGGTCCAGACTCAATTATTTACAGACCGCTGCCATATAGCTGGAATATTGCTGAATGTGGCGTAAAACTAAACTCACTCACTCACGCACTGTTGTTCGTTGTCAGGTTTGGCAAGTTGGGTACCCAACGAGACTGAAGTACAGCTATGACTTCCGTGCAGGGTACAAATGGGACTTCACTCAGTTCTCCTGCTTCAATGAGTCCGACACCATGCTCCTCGTCTCCAGTGTCAAGAGCACAGAAATTGACAGAAGAGGATTTGTGGCAGTTTTATCTGTTGAACACAGTCAGTCATTTTTTCTTTGTCTCAAACAGACTTAGCATCATGTTAGAAATTGATTTTGTCTTATTTTCTGTGTTAAGGCTTTATGTTTATGACTAGAACACATTGACTTTTCATTATTTAGAAAGACTTATCTGTTATATAGGCCAGCACTTTGATGTCGTCACCTATGACAATGATCCTGTCATGTTTGAGAATGACCGTTTATCTGTTTTTTGAGCCATTTTTTTGAGATACTGAAGTTGATTAGAAGATCTGTATCTGAAACAAATCAGTCAAATTCAAGGTAAATTTTAAAAATAATTGAATTATGACTTGCCAAAACAGTGGATATAACACACCCTAGTGGTATAAGTGTATGGAATAAGCTAGTGGTATAATCATATGGAATGTTTTTCAAGTTTCACAATGGACCTACCCAGAAATATCAATATATCATGTTTTATGACACTTCCAGATTTCCAGCTACTCCGAGTGGTGTCTATGGACCCGTCCCAATTGTTTGGGACTTGGCTTAATGGCTGCACCTTCTTGGGAGGGTCCCTAGAGATTAGTCTTGACAGATTTGCAACCACTGTCCAGATACAAGCATTTGAGGTAAGAAGTAGTCATACTACAGTGATCGTGAGAGGACATAGTTCGGATGGAGAAATCAGGTGTATCGATAGAAATTCTTCTAATTTTTCACTTTGTAGGTTCCTTACCATTACTGTAGGGAGATCTTCTTAACAATTCGTATAATGATGTGCCAGGGTCTACTCTGTCCGAATCTATTTGAGAATAAATAAACCTGAAGGATCTCACTTATATATTTACAGTTCCATGCAATTCCAGAGGTTTGAATAATTTAAAAAAGTATTTTATTGATCAGTACATGCCTATGTTGTTTGAATAAGTAGTGACAAGAAGCATATATGTCCATTATTAGTTCTTCCATGTTTTGTCCTCAATATTAGCATGTACATTCTCTGTTGCCATCTATTCCACTCAAGCTTTCCAACAACACCAGATACATCTTGCTATACCTCTGGCAGACATGTTTCAATTTTGTACACCAAAAACAATGCTCTAATAGCATGTTCTGTTTTTCATTAGCCAGAACAAGTTAAATTCAAAATGGCCACAGCCACATCTCATTCAGATTTAAACTTCTGACTTTGTTACAATCCCTAGAGGTGGTGGGGTAGCCTAATGGTTTAAGCGTTTGCTTGTCATGCTGGAGGCCTGGGTTCGATTCCCCACATGGGTGCAATGGGTGAAGCCCATTTCTGGTGTCCCCTGTCGTGATATTGCTGGAACATTGCTAAAAGTGGTGTAAATCCATACTCACTCACTCACACTACAATCCCTATTTTTGTGAAACCGTTTAACATTTATTTCCAGAACTATATTTTTTTTTAAGATGCTGAAGAACAGATATCAGATATCAGAGTTATTGTGACAAGTAGCATATTATGTCTTGTTCCAGGTGAAGGATGTTCCTCAGCTGCTTCCTGCATCAGCCTCAGTTGAGACCCACTCAGGCCTTGCCCTGTTCACCTTCTGTAGTGAGACAGCCAGTCTCATCAAGTTCCTGACTGTCGTTAATGTGCCAACCAAAGGTATTTCTCCCATTCAGGAAACCGAACTCGAAAATATTGGTGAATCAGCGTATTCAGTGAATCACAATGAATGTGGAGAAGACGATATGTGTCCACTTGCCACCTCATCAGGAAGCTCCAGCAAAACGGAACAGATGTGTAGCAATATTGTGATACAGGAAAATGGTCATCCACTGCATATGGATTCCTTTGATGATTCAGACATGGAGGAAGAACCAGAGGCAAAGTATGTTTCAAAGCGAAACACGAACACTCACTCGAAGAGGAATGTAACATCCATGCATCACTTAAAACTGAGGAATTTGATATATGTGACGGGGAATTTGCAGTGGCTTTGCATCAACTTGGGTTCAAGGACATTTCACCCAACACAATTTCTGACATCGTGGTTGAGCGGACAATGGAGTCAGTTGTGACTGACCTTGACAGTATTCAGAGCCACATGGTGGTTAACTATAGCAACCAGGACATCGAGATGAGGCGGATTCGCAAACCTGACATGTCTGATCACATGATTGATCTGAATGGTCATGTGACTGGTTTGTGTCTCTCTCAGGACCATCGGTAAGAATTGTGTTCTTGATCTTTATCCAGTTTCATGAATTTCCTTGTTTACTCAACCAGCTGTTGGGGATTTTCCTTGATCGAAATGTACATATACAAACAAGCTAAATAATACCCACTGTTGGAAGTTTGTGTGTTGCAATACTACCAACAATGACAGATTTTCTCTGACTTCTTTTGAGCAGTGTATTTATAGATCCTTCAGAAACTTGGTTCGAATTGGTTTGGGTCAAAGGCATTAACATTTTGTGAGTGGATGACCACAGAACCAACATTAAATGAGATGCAAAGTATATGTGAACGTTGCTTAGATACTGGTATTAAAAGTAGGCATTTCAATGATTAAATAGGAAGTTAGTGAATGTAAGAAAAACATCTTATGCTTCAATATGCTCCTCTACATAAAGACCGCCTCTGTGGTGTAGTGGTTAGAGCGTCCGCCCGGAGAGCGGAAGGTCGCGGGTTCAATCCCCGACCGCGTCATACCAAAAGACGTTAAATATGGTACTTGTTGGTCCCTGCCTGGCGTTCGGCATAAATGGGTACAACAAGGACTGGTCGGCTCAGAGTCAGTATAATGTGTCTGAGTGGGGTATTCATGCTTCACTGCGGCGTGGTATCTCAGTGGGCTAGCACTATAAAACCAGCTTAAGTCTGGGCTAGTACAAGCAGCTGCACATACACATACACACGCATGCACGTCGTCATATGAGCGAAATATTATCAAGCACGATGTTAAACCCAGTTTCACCTCACCTCTACCTAAACTTCTCTATTACAGTGACAATATGATACTTGGTATCCATAAGCTATTTCTATATGTCATCTGTCATCTTCAAAGAAATACCTATTAAACAACTGATTTTAATTCACATGATACAAAAAGTAGTAGTTCTTTGTAAGAACATTTCATATTTGGCACGATTGGGGCAAAACAAAATTTTAAAATATCAAGCAATAAACATAAAAGACCACAATAATCAATAAGTCTAACTTTAGATAAGTCGATTTGTATATCATGGAAAGATGAACAGTGGAGTTCTATACCTTTAAATAATGACATGATGTGAAGTGGGATGTTTAATAGCAAGATTTGTTGGGAAGAAAATTTGATGTTTTAATTATTTTGCCCTGAAACTTGTTGTTAAACACTCTAGTATCTTCCTCTAGTGTTTAGTAAGGCTGATGTACAGTAGGGACACTGACTATGGTGTGTTGCAGGTATCTGTTTGTAAACTGTCGACCCTGGGTGGGGAAGATTGATCGCAGCGACCCATGGGCAACCCCAGAACTTTCACCAGAGATAGAAGTCCGGGTGATTGACCTTCACGACCTGAGTGACACAGGGGTCAGGTACAGAGGTCACAAGGGCTACTCCCAGTCCACGATGTGCTGCTTTGTATTCCTCGACTCCAGTCAACACTACATTGGCAGGTGGGTATTTGCCACAACTCTCATGCTGCATTGGCACATCCAACATGACAAGTATACTGCTGTACATTGGGCATGATAAGGGAATTACTGGATTATTCAATTTAAAGGCACTATATCACACCACACTTCTCTAGAAATACATAACGCATTCTCTCAATAATACTAACTATCAGCTGTCAGGGAAGCTACCATATACTTTATTCCCCCCAAAATTATGTATTTAGATTACAATATTAAAATTAAAAAGTTCGAATGAATTAATGTAATGTTGCATTAAATAGACTCTCGCTGCCTCTACCGGCTCAACATTATTTCAAGAGTTATGTCCCTTGGAGTGCTCTATACGAATATCATATGCACAACTTGCGATTGAAACCAGTTCGGCAAACACCAACAACACTGCATGCGACAGTTTTCAATGTACAGAACAATTGTTTACATTCCATATATGGCAAGTATTCAAGTTTGGAAGCTGTTCGCCTCGAAGTTTCAATTATCGATTTCAGGCAAGTCGTATGGGATAAGTTCTTTATTGCATCAATAGGAAGCTAAAGTGAGTGCATATGCCCCAATATATATAATATAGGCACAGTAGGGACACTGTCGAAAATGTGTGACATTGCCCTTTTAGTATTTTATTGCTGTAAATGTGGTGTTGGATGTGTTTGAAAATTGATTTGTTTCTTTTACAGTGGGAGCGAGGACACAAAAGCGTATCTCTGGGATCGCCATTATCAGTGTTGTCTTGGTACATTTGGACATGGCCCAGGTGTTGTCAACGCTGTTGGGTTTAGTCCTCGAGATGAGGAGTATTTTGTGACTGTGAGTGATGACCACACCATCAAGATTTGGCGATCAAGAAACAGATTAAAGCAAGTCCTTGAAAATGCACAATCTTTAGATAGATGACAGAATATGCAGATTATGAATCTATCTCTCTTGTATGCTGTTTAATTTATTTTCTATGTATTTTGCAATGCTGGAATTATTTCTACTCACAGTTTTTATGTCAGTGTAGCCTAGTCAGGAATCATTGATATTTTGGGTGTGGGGTGTGCTTAAAAATGTCTCCTGAAATAGGCGATCATATGTGCTTACATTCACAATTAGGTGTACACCAATAAATCATGTTGAACATGAATGTTATTTCAAGACTGAAGAGGACTATCATTTATTACAAGGAAAGGAGTGGGGACAGGGTTGGGTGTGTGAGTATGTCAGAGATTTTTATGCACAGATGGCCTGTAAATAATTACCCCCTCACTTATGCGTGTATTTTTGGATGGCCCTCCCCATTTCATTCTGCATTCTTTTCATGACCCTCCATGAAGAGACAAAATGCTAAAACACTTTATAGTATACAATAATATGTCCATGTTTTTACAACCCTCCTCAAACATGTTTTTTACTTTTGTGACCCACCCTAGGATAATGTTGTATTTGGGGTGACACTCCCCTAATTCCCTCTCATATACCCTTCCATGCATCACCTCCTAAATGTATCCAGTGGATATGGACATGGGAATATCATGATGTGAATGACACAACACAAATCATTATATATTTAAGATCTTGACAGTAAGAATTTAATTTTTCATGTTACTTATTGCATATTATTGCAACATTGCTACTCCTCTCTTCTTATCAGATAGGTTGAAGACTCTGTGATGTTTAACTTCTTTGAGAGGCATTTTAGAAGTTGTAAAGATGAAGGAAAACCAGGTTCTATGGATAGTCAACTTCTGAATTGCAATGAGTGCGACGTTTCAGTGTAAGTACAAACACCATTATCAAGCAAGCACTTGCTTGATAATGGTGTCAGTACTCACTGCAATAAAGAAGTTGACTATCCATAGAACTTGGTTTTCCTTCTGTGATGTTTGTTGACTGGCAACCATTAAAAAAATGTAAATAAAAAATTCAGGTTTTGCAATTATGTGTACTGACATATTATAGCTTTGCCCTAGCAGCATGTGGGTACCTGTGAGTTGTGTTGGCAGTGTGGATAACCCTTACTATTTATACCATTGTGACCATGTGATCCACATTTATCTTGGGGAACCATTTAGCTCCAGGACCATGTGGACAAGTTTATTCAGTTTATTTCATGCTTGTTGAATTATGATCACTGTTGTCCAGATACTCATGCAATGTGGTTGAAGATAAGATTTCAGAGTTTGTATTTTAATATGTATAATAATCCAAATTATTGCAATATCCAGAATGTCAGAAAATTGGTATACAGTATTCCTATCCTAGATTTTCGAAACTCTCTTAGAGCTAAGATAATCATAAGTGCCATACATTAGCATTAACTTATAATTATTTTAGTGCGAAGAGAGCTTCAAAAATGAAGGCCCAGGACAGTAGAAAGATGTCTCTATCTATGAATGTGAATGTCCCATCATGATGCTGGTCAAACATTATTGTGTCATAGTTGAAGAAACCTACATGAATACTTTGACTCGTAAATACTTTCAGTCAACCACTAAAAAATGATTTATATAATAATAAGAAATACACATGTATGCACCTTGTACAAAGAGACAACTGTACGTTTGACACATTAAGGCTTGACACAACCTTGTTTGACTGTATCATAATATAACATAGATAAACAGATCCTAAATGTTAAGCAGTGAGAATAATAGGTGGTGTCTATTAAACAATAGAAGTAGATATAAATTGCACGCTTCAGGTCCAGTATGTATGCAAAATATCTGTCCAGAAATCATGGGTTACAGAAACAAATTGTATCTTTCAGTTTGATAATCTGATGTATTGAGTAGGACATCACAAATTATTGCTGTGATATCATGATATATAACTTGTGACATCATAATATATAACTTGTGCTGATGTGATAATATATGTAAAAACAAAATAGAAAATCTTTGTGATCTCTGATGTCATGTTGGACTGTGCAGAATTCTGTCCCTTGCCCATGCCAGGATCTGTTAGTCATTGGTTCAAATCCCAGATTAACCCAGATTATGATCCTTGGTAAATGTGTTCAATCTGGATCAAGTTTTTCTTACCGCTTACATTAACGGAAATATAGTACCCAACTCACTCTCACTCACTCACTCACAGAAGTTGTCACTAACATAAGCAGATCTTACACTTAGCATTGATTCAAGGTATGTTACGTGTACAACATACTATCTCTCATTGAGTAAAGGTGTTTAAACAGCTAGAAATGTGTGCTTGATCTCGTTTTGGGTATTTGTGATTGTGATGGAAATGTTCATGTCTTCATGATGAATGTGTTTTGATGCAAGTCAGGTTTTTTAGGAGGTCAGTATATGTTCACAATCAAAGTTATTACTGTGATTCATTTATTGCTGAACTTTGTTCTTTGTGTCGGTTAAACAGCAATTCACTCTCAATGATCGCAGATGTGCTTGAATCTGGTTTTTAATGTTATACTACTCACAGAAAGTAAGGACATGCTTCTGGCCGAGTATTTTCTGATTTTGTGATAATCCTTCATATCTTACTGATATATGCATATTGATGGACTTCATCAGTACCCATGGAGTAAATTTGTCATAGTGTGCTTGCACAATTTGCTAGATAGAGTTGCTTCTCTTGGCTGTGCCAGAATACTATGTAATAATGTTTGAATCCCACATTCCCCTGATTAATGTTCTTGCTGTGTCCTGCTCGTGGGTTTCACCAAAGTGTCAACGTCCAAGATATACAGTAACACTCTTGGCGTTTTCCTGCCACATCGAGCTGACAGCCATGCTGCTGCTGCAATACTGTTCAATACAATGATAAATCCAACCTGCTGAGCGTGCTTGAAAAATAGGTCCTTGTAAACAAATCTAAGGGAGATAAGAATTGTACACAGGAAGAATTTGAAAATCTCTTCCACATCAGGATCAGACATAAGGACCATCATAGGGTAATGTAATTACAACTGCAAAAGCACTCAGTTTTATTAACTAAGCAAAAACATGGACAATTAGTATTGACTGACTGCGGAATCCAACAAGATGCTGTGATTTGAAATGAAGACAGCAACAATGATGTGTCCTCATTTTCCATCTATAGTCAGAGTAGTCAAAATGTATAGAAGTGTCTAAATACTTAAACTTATACAATAGACATTGAGGTTAATGTGATCATGTTTCCTACCTTATCATTTTCAGATCATAATAGTACTTTTTTAATCTGCAGTGAATGATTTAAAATTATAATTATACCATAATCAATGTACTACAGAATTAACCCTCTATATTTTAGAATCAATAAGATGGAAACTTCAGTTTTTTTCTAAGAACAGATCCCTATTCAGTTTCTCGCTCTGTATTTACAAGATGTAAAGTTCCGGGCAAAAGAATGTATTCTCGTGAAAACTGGATTTGACCAAGAACTTACAAACATTATCAAAATGCTACTAGGATGAAAAATGTCACCACAACACTGCAAAGTTTAGGTCTAATATGGAACTTGATACCCATATTAAATACAGCACCGTGAGACAGATAGCTCTTGTTTGTTTAAGCCACCATCAAACATAGATGTGTACTTATGATTTATTATTCTCTTCATATAAATACAACCTGGTGACAATGAAACAAATGTAGTGTCAAGCCGCCACATGCTTTAAGCCAACCAGATTGTTATATTAACTGTGACATTCAGGGTCATCTGTTGTATGATGTCTCAGATGAGTGCTCTCAACCAGACCATAATAAAACATAACATGTACTCAGTTTTATGTTGTTAATTCTCAACTGGTGCAGTGTGGAATGAAGCTTGCCATTGTAGCGATATAAGAAGCATTGAAGTAGTTGTCTGGAAGACGTTTTGGAACACTGTTCAGAGCGCCAAGCCTTCCCAACAAATCTAGCATACCATGTAATTTTTTCTTGGCTTCAAATTTGAAAACTTTTGAAAGGAATTTCAACATAGTTTTACTGTGCATGCTCGTAAGCTTACGGCTGAATACTTAATTTGATTTGTACATATTTTCAAGATTAAAAATATATTTCAACACTCAAATAGTCGAATATATCATTGATGTACCAGATAAACATTCCATGTCATCCCACATACTGCACCCTGGCATCCAGAATACTGCTGAATTGCTTGGCATCCGACATACCAGCATGGGATTGGACATTTTAGCTTTGTTCATCAAATAACTTCAACACAATTGAATGCATTATTTTCAAATTTTGGGATCACTCTCAATTTCTATTGGAGAGGTGCATTGCAAAGTTTTACGTTTATATTTTCAGTTGATCAAGAATATTATCACCAATAACCCCTCTTGAACCGGGGAAAAAGTCCCATGTCAAATTTCTTCAACCAATAACTTTACACTCATTTAATGGCTTCTTTTCAGATTTGGATAATGGCTTCTTTGTTATTGGAAAGGTGCAGTGAAAAGTTTGATCCATATATTGTAATTTTGTAAAGAATAATCATTATCAGTTGTTGTTCAGCTGAAGTTATGAGTTGGAGTTATAACTGAGTCAGTCTGCCTAGAGACTACAGGATGTGTAGCTCATCAACAGTGTTCCAGGCGTTATCCAGCAGTACTAATGTCCATCAGCCACTAGCAGTGACGTCAGAGTTGAACACTCGGGACCACACCACTGCCTTCCTGAAGTCCTTGCAGTGTCGTAACATGTACAGCGACTCTGAAATGGGAGGTTACTCAGTTTTTATAAAGGATGAAATGGGCCAAGTAGAGGGGAACATTGGATGGGAGTAGCCTTGAGGGTCAAGTGCTGGCTCATCCTGAAGACCCAGGTTTGATTCCCCATGTCATTTGAAACTTATTCATAGTGTCCTAATCATGTTATCGAATATTGCCCTAGGTGAAAGTAAATAACACTTACATCTCCTTTAGTTTAATAACACATGAAAGTATTTAGTTTTGCCGTGAGACACAAATTGAACATGAATGAGAAGATATTTGTTAGAGTCACTACAAAAATCGCTTGTAATGAAGGAAGGGTCTGCTTCAAAACATTTAAGATATTTTGTGAAATTTGAGGTAGTAAAATAATGGCTATAAGAAACTTTACTTGTTTTCAATTGAATATTGCTTCATCAACAATTTTGAAGTTATTTGTCGCGATACGATCTTAACCAACTAAACACAGTACTGACCTCGGGTTTGTTTACTGGTGACAGGGGAGACAACTTCTGTAGAACGCTCAGACAGTGTCAGCAACCAGTCAATTGCCTGAAGGTTGGATATATTATTCATTGTCAGTAAGTCACATGAAAAACATATCAAAACACAGAGTCTCCATACTGAAAAACTATACTCCCGGTCAAAAGTTTAGACTCACTGAAAACACTCACTACATGTTATGTATATATATATGGTTCCATCGAAGATTGATATCTCCACTAACTTGAGGGAACCAACTGCAAACCATATGCAGATGAATTGCATGAGGATCATGCATCAAATTGCTGAAAAGCATGTACAAATATCATGCATGTGAACAGCTGCGTTTTTGTGAAAGGTTTTGTTAAGAATTGGTCAATTTTCACTGAGTTTTATCATTTATTGAATATTTTGCAAATTTAGTTTAAAATAGTTGCCTGAAGTAAGTGGCTATATTAACACTAGCGAGTCTAAACATTTGATGGGAAATATATAAAGAGAATTCACTTTTTACACCAATATTTCTATTTTTGTGATCTTTTATTAAACAAAATATTAGATGGATCCAGAATGAATAAATAGCCGCTGATAGTTGTATCAGCAGTATTGGATAGTTTCAGTCAGCATACAGATGAAGTAAGGTGACAAGAAATGGGTCTGACAAGGATATTGCACTGAAAGATTGATGTTTTGTGTGTGCATGTGCGTTTATCTGTACTATGTTAGAAACGCCTGTTTCATAGTGCTAGCCTTCTTGGATTACATGCTGCAAGAATGCCCAATAGACTGTATGCATAGCCTCTGAATTTTGGTGTAACAAATAAACCCATTTAAACTGAAAAGGAGGCCAGAGATTCAGAACTTGGGGAAATCTAGATTTGCTTCATTTAGGGCTTTTACTAAGCATTGCAGGGAGGGCTAGGCTGTATGGAAAATAATATGGGTTCAAGGACTTCGAGACAGACTAGACTGCCCTACTGAGACACAGTATAATGACTTAGAGTAAGCCAATCCTTGTTTTATACCCTTAGTCCCAAGTTCCAGGCAGGGTAACAACAAGTACCATCTTTTAATGTATTTAGGTATAATACACTCATCTATGTCCCGATATTATAAGGTCAAATTATATACCTTGGACATAATTTGATCCCAAGGCTCTCGCTCCAACCTAGGTATGCATCCAGGCAAGAAATCAAGACAGTCGGGCAACATGTTTGCATAGTCAGCCACCCAGCTGTCTCGCCTTGGTGCTTCATCTCCAGTGGTCGGTTTGAAAAGTGATAGCTCCACACCAGAGATTGCTCCTGCTGCAGAGTTTGTCCACAGACACATTGCCCTGGCAACCACCTCCACAGCACACTGCATGACCTGGACAAACAGTTCAACAAGGTCAAGTATAGCGATGATGACTTTGCACATTACACTGATGTCCAACAAACAGGATGAAATACACAGATACAGAATACATCTCCAAGTAACAAAGAGGTTGAGCATGCAGGAAATCTGGCATCTGTGCAACTAGTTACCTTATTAATTATGAACAAGTTGTGACAAATATACTACTGATTATACAGTCATCCCTCGCAAATAACGCTCTTCGCGATACCGCGGATTCGGTTAAACCTCGGGGTAATCTGTGGCTCCCATAAATACGTTGCACATATTCACACATATTCACGTCATCGAAAATAGCACATCAACAAATCCGCTGTTGAGCTCTGGTTAATCACGTTGTAAACTAGTGAAATTCAGTGCGGATTGCAATTAACAGTGTTTATCGTACATATCCATGGTTTTTCAGATGCTTAAAACATGCAGGGTTTTTTTTTCAATAATAATAGATGAACAGCGAAACATCATAATAACTTTATCATAAAGACACGCCATCAGCCGAGTACTTACAATGTTTGCTGTGATGCAACACACCGCGTAATTGCGTGGGTAAGACCCAAGACCCCAAGACCCCGTTATGGCGAGGGATGACTGTAGTTTATCTGTTTTTTCCTGAACTTCATGAGTCCTGACATCCTCCATTCTGTCCATACATACCAAGATGAATCTTTTACATCAGACTGACTTGGTATGTGAATGAATTGATGGAGTGTAACTAATTTACAAAAGATTCCCCCAGATCAGGGACTAATGCAACTGATCTTTGTCCTATGACTTCCTGCACTCCCAATGTTTAACACTGCCACACATGTCAGAGAACTGAAATTGCTTGTAGAAAAATGTCAAATTAGGGATATCTAGTTGTATCGATGGATCTGACCTCTATGCGTGGAGGTGCCTCATCTGGCAAGGTTGTGTTGCCAACAGCGATGTTGCGAACATGACCAAGTAGTTCCAGAAGCCACTGTGTGCGGTTGACGGGACTGGTGTAGTCAGTTGAACAGCCTGCCATCTGGTGGAAGCAGTTTGCCAGCAGATGCAGCAACAGCGTCTTCTCCCTGGATGAAAACACACGCGGTGACATGACATGACAAGACACGAGTGACATGAACCACATATGGTGATATGGACAGGACAACGCACTCTCTCTCACATGCACACCCATCCATACAAACACACACACCCACCCATTCGCACATGCATGTACACACATGCGCTCGCACACACACGCACACACACACACACTAACATGTATAACAAACCATGGATCATAAAAAGGGTCAATCAAGCAGTCATCTCATCCCTTACTGGTACACCCTCAGATCTTTCCTTTTGGGGTCGTGAGATCTGGTTTTAATGAGATCATTAAAACTAATCATGATCCACAGCTTCTCTTGTTCAGAAAACATCCAGCAAGAAAGGATGTGTTCAAGAAATTCTATGAAAGGCTGCACTTACGAGTGTTGACTGTGAATGATGGCATCGATACAGCTGTTTAGCAATGCTACAGGTTGACGGCCATTTGCAATCAGGTAGCATCTGACGAAAGTGCCTTTCACAAATGTCTGCTTCTCATTGAAATCCTCTAGTGTTACTTCATCCAGGATCTCATCCAGAAGGTTGGACAAACACTCAGACATTTGGCAGTACAGCCCCACCTGGTGACAAAACAAGTCATTGACAGACAACATAGGAACGCTGTATTCTTAAAGTTAGACAAAACCTTTAAAAGTACTCAAAATGATGTACTACATTCTTCTTGTGAAAGGGAAGAAGGGTTATTGTTCTAAGACAATTACTCATAACATACTTATTTACATTGCAACTAACAAAACCAGCCAAATTGAAAGTAAAGATAGTCAACAGTTGTTCAAAACTTCAGACACAATACTACTGTTTCAAGCAAGCAAAATGACTGAGTGAATTGAAAATCACTTTGAGCAGTATTTCAGTGGAGGAAAGCCCAAGGTGACAAACCAATTATCTGGATTTGAACCAATTTTCATCTGATCATGTCATGCAACTCCAGTGAATTGTAGTGATGTAGATCACAAGACATGACTCACTTTGCAAAACAATGCAAACACAACTCCACTAAGTTAGGATACTACATACCAGTGACATTACTTTCCTGGTCATGTAAACATATACATACCTGCAGTGTAGGGGGAACAGCCTTGTAGATGACCTGGGTGGCCAAGTAGAGGATCCTAGTAACAGATTCAGGTGGATCCTGGACCTGCAAGGCCAGGTTCAAGCCCCGCGGAGTACACAGATGCACATGGGGATGTTGATGTCAGTGAAGGGTTCCATACATCCACGTTCCAGGAACGTCTGGAGTATCGCAGGACCCACCGACTTGATGAGGTAGGGTAGGGACTGGTACAGGAACTGTTTGCACTCCGCCTGTTATAGACATGTATATTGGTGAATATAGAGATTATACACTGGTGACGACTAATTTTATACACTGTAGAGATCATATACCGCAGAGACTATATACATACTGGTGAATATAGAGATAGAGAGTCGGTTTAGCTTTATGCCGCTTTTAGCAATATTCCAGCAATGTCGTGGCAGGGGACACCAGAAATGGGCTTCACACATTGTACCCATGTGGGGGATCGAACCCGGGTCTTCGGCATGACGAGCAAACGCCTTAACCACCAGGCTACCCCACCGCCCCTGAATATAGAGATAATATACTGTAGAAATTATATAGTGGTGACTACAGAGATTATATACTGCTGAGAGATTATATACTGGTGAATATAGACATTATATTCAAGTGGGTGAGTATGGTTTTTCGTTGTTTTATGCCAGCAATATCACAGCGAGGGACACCAGAAATGGGCTTCACATGTTGTACCCATGTGGGGATTTGAACCTAGGTCTTCAGTGTGACAAGTAGTCACTTTAACCATTAGGCTACCTCCTGGACTGACTACTGAGATAATATACTGGTGACTATAGAAATAAAAAACTGACAGATGACTTTACACATCATACACTGGTTACTAAACACCATGAAGGCTGCCAAATATCAGTGATTATAATGTCTCTATGTGACAAGGATACCTACGTCTAGAGAGTTGAACAGTGGTGGTGTAAGCCATGATGAGATGAACATGGCTGCTGTTGGAGCAGACAGACTCTGGGAGACAGCCATCTTGAAGCACAGACATCTCACACTTGTACCTGAACAAAACGCACTTATTAGAGTGAGCATACATGTATTCATTCCAAAAATGAGAAAACGACTATATTAATATGGAAAAAAAATCAAAATAGACAAATGTTTCCCTATTGTTTTGTGAAACACATTTTACATACCAAAGTTGACTCTCATGAAAGGGGAGAGAACTCCTGCCCAGTTTACAGGTGGCAGCACTTGTTTGACATCTTCCTGAATGGCAGTCAAAGCAACCTTGACATACTCTGGTGGGATCACCTCAGGTCCTGCAATTACATTACACATAAGTAGAGGAGGTATGCATGCTCCAGTCTTCCAAGGCACCATTGCAGCATCCTGTTGGCATCTCTGGTTTGTACCCTAGGTCTTCCATGATTACATCCCTATGTTAGTCAGCACCATCCCCATGTTCATGAGTCCTCACCAAAATCATATACATCTGACACCTGCATTACTTCAGGCTTACTTCTCTGAAGCACAGGTCATGACATTAAATTCTCATAATCCAGCGAGTTTTTAGAATGAAAATGTAATTTTCTGAATAAAAATGATATTTTATACTTATCCTGACTCATGAGGTGAGCAATAAGCATGAGTCAGGATAAGGAAAAATATGTAATTTTCTGAATAAAATTGATATTTTATACTTATCCTGACTCATGCTTATTGCTCACCTCATGAGTCAGGATAAGGAAAAATGTTAGCAACTGTCTCTTTGTAATGAGGAAATTTATTTACTGTTAGATTAATTTTATTCTTAAACTTTGAGTTCAGATGATAATGAATTTAAGGGATCATGCAATATAAATTTGAATTTGTACTTGAACAATAACATATCTTGAAAGTTATGCTCTAGCCAGTTCCATTTAGAACACATTTTATTCAAGGCATTGAATTTATTCTACCTTGAAACCAGAACATACTGATATTATAACTGATATTATAAAATAAGTTATCAGGACGGCAAGGATGATTACCTCTCTTCCCAGCCTCAATGAGGAGATCCACCATCGCTCGCAGGATGCTGCTCTCAGGTAGGTAACCATAGCTTGGAGGAACTGTTAGAAACACATTCAAGGTGGACACAATTCAGTACTGTTGTCAATCGTTACAAGCAGCTCACACAAATATCCATTCATTAATCTATTTTGAACATCTGTAAAATTAGTTTCTTTTTACTTATTGCTGAGACCATATAATAGAATGTATTACATGGTCTCTGCAAATTGAAAAAAACCCAACTTGTTTTCCTTTTCTGTACAGACCAAAAGTATTAGGAATCATACCAGATGTTACTGATAAACGAAGACAAAGAATAGAGTCAAAGGAGGAATAGATATGCCAAATATGTAATGGAAGTAACAAACTACAAATACTCACATAACCAACAGTCACTACACACCAGCATGTAACTGTCTGATGGCTAGTGTGTGTCAGTGTGTGTTTGTGTGAAAACGTACCACTGGCTCGGGTCTCTGTGATGGCACATGCTGATAAATATAGATGTCCAAGCATCCAGGCACTGTTACTCTGAATTCCAAGGTCACTGGAATTGGCAACAACCGAAGTGGCCATCTTGATTACACTATCTGCATCAACATCGCTGCCAAGGAGAGATGCCCCACTGCCCTGAACCTGTGTATGACAGTTGATATGAACACCACGATTGTCCATGCTGGTCAATCTATGAGGAAATGGACGTAACCTGGGAGTTAAGACACCTTGGACAGCTTCTTTGTTCAACTGACCCATTTCTAACATTGATGGTTCTCAGATAAGAGAGTGACATGATCACAGTATATCTTATACTGTAATAACATACTGAATTTGAACGACTATTGTAGCATCCATAACATTTCCATGTCCAGACCTTCTGATCCAAAGTCAGACGTGGGATGACTCTACATCCTCCCCGTCAAAAGAAAGCATGACCTGGGCGGTATAGTTGGGTACTGAGAATTACTTTGCTCAAATTTGATATGGACATGCTCAGACCACGTTGGGCACCAATGTAGCGGCTATAACATTTCCGTGTCCTGTGCAGAGATTCGAACCATGGCCCTTCTGATCTGACGCCTTGTCCATATGACCAAAGAGGTTTACCCCGTCATCAAGCACACAAGGTAAGAATGTCATCTGTGGGATGACTCCACACTCTGCTACACTATGACTAATAACTGAAATAGGAAAATATAATTTAAACTTGGATGTTAAATTCTTTGTGTCTAGACCATTAAAAGTTTCACAAGGAGAATTCAGAAAGGTTTTTTGCGTCATGTTTCTGAAAGAAACCACAACATTATTTGAACCAATGTCCAACTTACTGCCCTGGAAAAGCCACAATTTAATTTCTTTTGGTGATGAAACACAGAACCTTAATGAAAGATGTGAAGACAGAGTTTCATGCTTCTGGCATCAATATAGAAAGATTGATCAAATGCAATTTGAATAGCAGGCAAATCTTTTTTGTAAACCTTTCAATCTGTCAAAAGTGTCAAACAGATGAGATGCAGCTGTGCTATTTGATACTTTAGATAAGAATCAGTAGGACTGTTTGACTTATATACTTTGAATATACTTACTGATACCAATGTCCTCTCTGAGCCAATCAGAGCCATCAAACCATTCAGTGTGGACACCTTCTGTCTTGGTGGAGTTTCCTGAACACAACAGAAGCTCAACCATCATTGGTCAAACAGAATGTGATTGATGGTTCAAATGTCAAATTCTAAACAATAAAATCTGGAACTAACATATACTCTATCATTGTTCATGACAGTTTTTTTTTCATCACACTAAGTAATATATGTGTCCTCAAAACATACATTAATCTTGTGTTTAAATTATGCTTCTGTCTTCAAAGTTGTCATACAAATGGTTTCATAACCTTGTTATCTACAATATTTAATGCCAGCATATGAAACTCTTAGAACTGACAGAGATACTTAGTGATGATGAATCATGGATTATGTGTATGTAACTATGAGCTGAAACCTCGATTGATTGATAAGAATTCAGCCATGCACCAAAGTCATGAAAAATACAACATAAAACAATTCCAACATCCACAACTGTCTCCAAACACTGACAAAAAGCCATCAGTAAGCAGAAAATGAACACTTCACCATACCTCTGATGCCAGACCTTTAAGCCAATCATGAACCAGCTTTGTCCGAAGCTGACCAATAGTTGGATGTCCCACCTTGTTGAGGTTGTAACACAAGGCTCCAAGCGCCAGACAAACACCTGTTACCTGCAGACAGTATTGGTTGTTACTATAGACGAAATCATCCAGAGTATATAGACTATTGTACCATAAAACTTTGTTACCTGAAGATAACATTGGTTATAACGGTTGAGGAACTTATTCAGAGTATATGTATTGTGTATATCACAACACTCCATTATCTTTAGATATATTGGGTAGCCAGACCATGTATAACTCGTATTCATATTGACAATGTTAAATATAAACTTGTTGCCATTTACCTCTGGGTTCTGTGTATGTGCTTGAGTGAGACTGTCCACCAAGGCACCAACCCTTTCAATCTGGAGGATGTTGACAGAGAATGCTCGGCCACTGATGCAGGAGACTGCTACACAGAGGGCCTGCAATAAAAACACTGTCAGCAACCCCAAATCATGCCACATCAAAGGAGCAGACTAGAATTTGAGCCATGAGTGCAACAAAAACTATATTATTCTCCCCTTTTGATGGTACTTTTTTATGAAACTCCTTGACTCTAAATTACAGGATACTTTTATACAAAAGAAAATAACAATATGTTGACAGCAAAATGGCTCATCTCTACCATTACCAAAGTGCCATTTTTTTCATGACCCTCCCTTTATTTCAGGTACAGGTTTTTGACAAACCATTCCTGATTCCGTCAAAGTGCCATTAACAAATGTTTTATGTGTATCAGCTCTAACGTCACCTGATACGAGGAGTCTGTGGGTGGAGTTGTTTCCATCAACATCACCAGCTTGTCATGCACTGCCGACACGTGGGCCCTCGACTCTGTCTTGCCGTCCTCGCACAGTCCACTCACAGCAAGACCCACACCCAGCATACACCCTGATCTACAACAGACAGCACAAGACATTTTCAGATAGACCAGGAATCTTGTTTTCATTGTGCTCATAATTTGTGGATGTGTCCCCTTAAAGACAATTTTGTAAAAAAAAGGCATACTCAAAATTTTCTTTGCAAAGAGAATGTGTCTCCAATTTTGCCTTTTAAAGACGCTTCCACGCTATCTCTACAACTCCACTTACCCTGCATTTCAGTGATGCTTCCAAACGATGTTTGATTATCTCACCTGTTTTCCAAGTCCTGGGACAAACAACAGTTCTCCAACACATCCATGGTCTTCCATATTTCATTCATGCCCTGTGTCAAGTACAGCAAGCACAAATGTATGTTCAAGTCTTTCATGTGGGTAGTCATTATAATTCCAAAGAACATGATTATGCTTCTTTACGGTTAATAACTTTTACTCTTGTAACATTTGCAGAGCTACTTCTACGTCCTTCTTTAGTTGAATACAAACGCATATCTATGACTCCCAAATGATTCACCAGATGAATGGCCAAGAAGTAGCTGTTTAACATTGTTACAAGGAATCTATGTTCTTGTCCTTAAAGGAAGAGTCACATATTCAAATATTTATGTTATTTATACAGATTTGCATCTAATGTGCAATGAATGTAGATTCTTTGTGGGTAGCCATTTATAAGTAGGAAGAACCTGATTACACTTCTTTTATGGGATATAACTTTTACTCTTTGTAACATTTGCAGAGCTACTTCTAGCCCCTTCCTCAGGTGAATAAAAAAGTGTCTTTATGATTCCCAAATTATTCCCTTGAAGAATAGCTAAAACGTAGCTGTTAAACATTCTTACAAGGAATCCATGTTTTATCCTTAAAGGAAGAGTCACATGTTCAAATGTTTATGTTATTTACACAGATCAGCATCTAATGTGCAACATTGAATGTAGATTCTTTAAGATACTTTTCCCATGATTCTCATACTGGAGCCAAAGATCCAAAAGCAATCATTGTGCTGCTTAAGGTCATTGTACCTCCAATACTTTGACACAGAATTAAGTTATCTTAGCTCTAACATGGCTTTGTGGAATGGGGCCATAATCCTCATGAGATTGTTGTTTCAGCTGCAAGATCTACTATTATCTATATCACGACAGTGACAAACAGTTGTAGACACCAAACTGCTTAACACAAACATATGACCATTGAATCACCAGTTTTCTCACCTTGGCTCCACCGACATCAGAAATGTGTTCTTCAAACAATCTGCTCAAGAACATTCCCAGTCCCAGGCCATAGTGGAACTGAAGAACTGGTGATTCCTCACATGCTGGTTGCCCTGGTAATCTGTCTGTTGCCATGGAAATAACCTGGTAGATTCTATCTGAATCCCTAGTGATGAAGATAGGCACAAGCTGTGACAGGGCCACACAGGCAGAGGACCTGGCCAGAAGACTGGCAGGGAGCTTGTCACCAGCCGTTCTCTGCAAGTAACAATACATAGACAATGTTACTTTCCTTGTGCACTTGTTCCAAATGTGCCACACTCGACAGTCACCTTCAGAGTGTCTTGAGTCCAATCAAACACATTCACTGATCCGTACTAATTACATTTGTGTTCTCCGTGTAGTCTCACAACAGTTTAAGGACAAGACACTGTTCAAGGTTTCATAGTTTCATGCCACACAGCAATATCTCGGCTATATGAAGGCCACCTGTATCCTGTCTCTGCCTTACCATCCAGAGATTCATATAAGCACAGTTTTCTGAATCACTCAGTCTGAACACTAAACATTTGAAATGATAAGAAGTTATCAAAGACTACAATGTAGAAAATTGTTTGACTTCCTGGTAATCTACTTGGTAAAGTTGAAATAACCCATAATGATTCAAATTCCTGCATGTTTTTTTACACTTAAACCCCATTTTCTACAACAACATGACTGTAATAACACCCAAGCAAGACTAACTGCATGATAGAAAGAAGTTCTTCAGTAAGAGTATACTGGTTGTTTAACGAGCTCCTACAAGTCAAGTAAAGTGCAGTAGCTTCCATTGGACACTGGAGTGAGTGAGTGAGTTTAGTTTACGACGCACTCAGCAATATTCCAGCTATATGGCGGCGGTCTGTAAATAATTGAGTCTGGACCAGACAATCCAGTGATCAATAGCATGAGCATCGATCTGCGTAATTGGGAACTGATGACTTTTGTCAACCAAGTCAGCAAGCCTGACCACCCGATCCCGTATGTACGCTGGAATCCTTATATGGTTGTACTGTTCACCTGTAAACTGTTTCTCCGATTATTGGGGTGGTGTGGTAAACAACTGGTTAAGGCATTTACTCATCACACAAAGACCTGGGTACAATTCCCCACATGGGTACAATGAGGGAAACCCATTTCTGGTGTCCACCACCATGATATTTTTTTAATATTGCTACAAGCAGTGTAAAACCTTTTTATTCATTCTGATTATTTCTTAATACTATCTAAAACCAGTCATAGAAAAAAACACAATTTTTTATAAAAAAAGAGCACCTGCTGACAGAGGCCGAGTATCTTCCCTTTTGGCTTGAAGGAGACCTCCATCAAACACATGATGGTATCCATGGCAACTGTCAACCAATGAGAATGACTGAGGTGTTGACATGTGTCTTCAGCAGCTTTCAGTGACTCCTCGTCCAGACCAGTAGCATGTCGTGATGCAGCCACGGCCAGACCAGCCAGAGCAAGAACTGAGTTGCCTTGACCAGTGGGGTTGCCTCTGTGGAATCAGGGAGCAGTCATTAATGCAGTTTGTTCTATGAGAAGAAACTGAATGATATAATCACAATCCGGTACTTTCAATTACTCTTGTCAAACATTTTCCATGATAATTGACAATCCATTTAGCTTGGGCATAGAACAAAAAAATACAATGTGTAGCTCCCATTTTTTGTATTTTACTTTTCAGCTAATTGTTTTGTATGAAAACCGCATGCAGCTTATTTTGTAGCATTGATAATTTTTTTCAGTTGATTTTTTGTTTCAATTTCGATAGTTTTCTTGTTACTTTCATATTATTTTTATAACTTTGATAATTTTCTTGTTATTTCAAGTATATTGAAAACCACTCTAGCTTTCAAAAAGATTTTTTGCTGTTTTGAGTATTTGTAACAGTATTTTAAAACAACAACAAACTAGAAATTTTGAAAAAATCTTTAATATATTTTTCACAATGCCAAAATCAAAAGTATAAAGGATATTAAGCGTCCACTGACAGACACTCAGACAAGTGAAACAAGTCAAGTATCTTACATACCTGGATGCTGTCTTTATGAGGTCGGCAATAGCATCTCTAACCCTGGGACATACAGAACAGGCTGACAGTGATTATGAAATATCAGTGCTTATGAAATATTTGTTCAGGAAAATTTGTTTAAATCCATAGTAACTATGTATCTGCAAAGATATAACTCTCTAGAGATTTATATTATTCACGACCAATCCAATTTCAATTTTGACCAAAGAAAGAGGAATTACTGAATTGCAAGAGCTTGTGTTTATATATCAAATACATTTATCTCTTGTCAACAATATTTTAGTTTACTATAAAAGGAATGTCAGAAAAGGGTTCAAATCATTGACCACACAACCAAGACCTCATGCCAACCTTTTTTTGAGAAAACAGATCAAACTTACCAAAGCCATGCAGTGTCCTGGGCTAGCTTGGCATCACCGGGTTCAATGTCTCCTCTCTTTATTTCCAATTCTACATCAGCTTTCTTGGCCTGCAAGAATATTCATTGGAAGGGATTGGTGAAGGGATAACAAGAGTTATCTCCCATTGACCAATATCCTAAAGTACTGTCGGAAATAGAAAAAAATATGTTTTTTCGCATTTATATCTACAGTTTAAGTAGTTAACATGTGAAAGTATGAAATATCTGTTAAACAAAGTTTGGCCTAACTACAGTCTCAATGGTAGGGAGATAGAAAATGTAGAAAAAGGACTTTACTGAGGAGAGATTAGTGCAGAAATGAGCAATGCGGGGGTTTTCTAATTCCAAAGCGACTTATTTGGAACAGACCATGGCTTTATGCAAATTAGTGTGCGATAATATTGTGTTACAAAGGACACTTTTTAAATTCCCATTTTGAAATTAAACTTAGCTTCATTATAAATGATAGCTGACATACAAAATAATAACTTTAATACTGAAACTATAAAGGATGTAGCTACCACGGAGTCTCACTATCACTATAAAAGGAAACAGGTAAGAGGGGTCGTCACAAAAGCAAAACCAGGACGGGTGTCAAAGACGGTGGTTGGGGTCAGGCTGGGGGATAGAGATAAGATAATCCTTTAGGGGAATTAAACTGTGGAAGAAAACGGCATGTCATAACAATTACAAATAATATCCAGTCCTGTCTATCTTCAGGTGGTCATGCCACTTATATATTTTGAGACATTTAATACGAAGGCTGATTTAAGCTTTTCTATGGGTATGGGTATCATCCTCTTGTACATATCTCAACATAAACTTTATGAAAGAAAGGCACGTAAGATGTTAATCAATAGATGAGACACTTTCAACACACATGAAAAAGCATAAAATATCATTGAGATGACCCCTTGTGCCTGTAGGCAGCACATGCATTTCATGCCAGGTGAGTCGACGGTCCGTCATCATACCTGGCTGAGCGACCTATAGTCTGCCATCTATAGTCTGATCTATTGTTTTCAGCAGCTATTCCTATATTTTCTAAGTTTTGCCCGATTTTACGAGTAAACGTGCTTTTCTGGATATCCTATTACGCATTCCACTGAATGCCCAGTTAGGCCGATGTGGATTATTTCAACATATGCTATTTGCAATTGTGTCAATTTTAGGGATACAGAGTAACAGCCTAAAAACAGTTTTATTCTATTTCCGACAGGACTTTAGTAATGTGTTCAAAACTAAATTTCATTACTTGAAACAGAATATATGGGCCTTGATAATTACAGTTGAAATGAATCCTACTTATCTTATCTATGACAAATTTATATGTCTACAGTGAAAACCTAGCTGTCAGTCCATCAGGACTCAATGTTGTGGATGTTCGTTACTCAGAGTCACAGAGCTGTCAACCCCTAAAGATCGTTTGGAGTGAGACTGAAAAAAATAAGCCGGGGTCCAGCCGGGGTCATGTCGAGGGCGATGCCCTGGTGGGGGGTTTGTTGGGGGCGAAGCCCCTCGCCCCCGAAAATGAAGTTTAGTGATTTTCAGGAGCATTTGGAGCCTTCTGGTGGCATTATTTTGACACTCAAAGATGCATGCTAATAAATAATAATAAGCCGAATCATTCGCATAAACATCGTTTTAGTACTTCGTTCATTCAGGCGTTCTTTCAATGTTCAACTTTACGCAAAAACGAACGAAAATGCGTACTAATTTTGAAATTATTTTTGGCTACCAGATATGTGTGAGATTATTTGGAGGCGTGAGAGTGTGACATTTGTCAATAAAGCGTGAGACTCATGCCAAATGCGTGAGAGTTGACAGGTATGGAGTCACCAAGTTCATACAAATGGTCCTATTCACATTTACACCCTCTGGATGAACAATATTTTCATAAACCAGTATGCATCCACATATGGCTCCCAGTAGTACTTGCCTGTTGTGATTTCTGAGCTCAAAAAGTCTAGACAACCCATGATTTATGCAGTATACAACTGGAATTGGGATGAGTGAGTGAATATTGCTTAATCAGCAGGTTTTCAGGAATTTGCAATAAATATACTTTAAGACATTTGTGAGTCCCAACAAAACACTCATCCTCTCCTGTACTCTTTTTGGTGCCCCTTTCTCAATTCCACCGTAATTTATCAGTCAGTTAACAAAAATCATTATGTACTATAAAATATTCAAAACAAAATCAAAGGTTAATTCACTGTCCAATAACTAAAGGGCTACCTCCAACATGGCTGTGAAAAGTCTGTCCACAAATGACGTCCACGCTTGGGGCATCAGCATACAGCGGTGCCACTCCGACGGCTGCACCGGGCACCTGACGTATGAATGAATGACAATTTATTGGTATAGCGCCTAATATCCAGGTTGTTTCCTGCTCAGTGGTGCATACATACATGTTGACATGAGGAACACAAGATCTTTTTTGGACAGACCACTTTTTTTACTCTCTTGCAGATCTGCCTAAATGGTAAAAGAAGTAATTTGGTTCGTCTGGATTAAAAGTTTAAATTACAAAAAGTGACCTATTCAGTTTTGAAAGTCAAGACGCAACTAAATGATGACATGTTGCAGTACGAATACTGTTCTCAGGTAGTGTACAGTATTTCAAAAGAATGTTCACATTTAATTACATTGTTTCTACTAAGATTCAGAAGAAGTGCTCTAACAATAATTAGTTTTCAGGAAAGTAATACTTGTTAATGTAAGCAGTGGTGTGGAAGTTATTATATATATATTAGATTCTTTTAGAGTGAAGTGTAAACTTCTAGAACAGCAGAAAATAGTCCAGGAGAGCATGGAAAATTGTTGAAGGTATTGTAAATATATAAGGGGCAAGTGTACGCCTCTATCATCTCCCATTAAACAGCGATTGTGTGAAGAGCATTATCTTTATCCTGGATACACAGCCTGTGCTGTTCTGGAAGTTTAACACTGTTACATTACTGATTTTCTTGCTATTTTATTTCATAATTGTACTATCAAACAATTTTGTACTGCTACAATACTGTGTAATGCCTTTGTAATTACTTTGTTGTGATTTGTATTAATTTGTAAACAAAGATAATTTTATAATACAATGTTATCATTTATTGTATAACATTTTTTTATTTTTTCACACTGAATTCTTTCCCAAAAAGATTTCTGGGTGAACTTATCGTTTTGTGGAAATTGACATTGTAACAATAGGCAGGCACCTAATCGCCAGCTCACAAAGTCAGACACCTAACCCGCTCAGGTGGAAGTCGCGGTGGCTGAGCAGGTTAGGTGGCTGACTTTGTGAGCTGGCGATTAGGTGCCTGACTCTGAGGGTGTGGATCGAATCCTGGATGGGACTCAACCCAACAAAAGTACTTGAATCTGTACTTTACTAAGAAAGTGTAATCCCAAATATAACATATGTTACATCAACCCATTTATAAATAATCAAATTTGTTTGTTGTTTAACTCCCTACACAGCAATATCCAAACTATCTGAAGGCTGCCTGTAAAAAACTGAGTTTGGACCAGACAATCAAGTGATAATCCGATAATTATATCCCTGGTTTAAAAAAAATAAAACAGATGGATAATTGACAAAAAAACAACTAATGTTGCTACCATGAAGTAGTACATATATACACTGATTGTACCTCAGACAGGAGGGTGGTGAACATCTGCTGATAGTTTTTGCCATGTGAGACGATGTAATGACGCCTTGGTCTTCCATCTCGGCCAACTTCTACTGGTGGATCGTAGCAAAACAGCAGTCCAGCTGAAGGAAAAACCAACATTGACCGGAGGGCCTCAGACAGTGCTGAGTAGTGGACACCGGTGGTTACTGCTGCTAAGTGCTGCTACTGACATACTATACTTATATAGAGTCAGTGCACTAGGAAGTCAACAAATGCCAGTGTGTGTTGGAGTGTGTTGAGGAGTTGTGTTGAATTTTTTTTAGCTGTAGGTATTTTATTTTAATTATTTTTTTAGTATGTGGGTATTTAGGGGTAGGTGTATGGGTGGGTGAAAGTGTGTGTGAGTATATTCCCTTGTGGGGAAGGCATGTGGAAACATGCTGGTATTTAGGAGTGGTTGTGTGTGAGGCTATTTCCTTGTGGGGTACGGGTGTGGAATTGGGTATGGGTATTTAGGGGTGGTTATATGGGTGGTTGATGGTGTGTGTAAGGCTATTCTGCTGTGGGGTTGGGATGTAGAAAGGTATCTGAGGAGAACATGTACTTAAGTAGTGGTAAGGGTATTGTCTGATGGGAGTGTGTTTTGAGTACACATAAATATAATAATATATTAATTTATAATGTCACATTCAAAAACATTTAATGTCCATGGTCCTTGTCAAAACAATCTCATCTCAGTGTCCAATGAAAGATATTAAAACCTCATTCTGTCAAAAAAGGTGAAGGTCCGGGTTAGAATTGATCTTCAGTAACCCATGCTTGTCGTAAGAGGCGACTAACGGGATCAGGTGGTCAGACTCGCTGGCTTGGTTGACACATGTCATCGGTTCCCAGTTGCACAGATCAATGCTCATGCTGTTGATCACTGGATTGAGTGGTCCAGACTTCGATTATTTACAGACCGCCGCCATATAGATGAAATATTGCTGAGTGTGGCGTACAACTAAACTCACTCACTCACTCACTCACTCTTGTTCTCTCATTACCCTGACCTGCATTTGGTGAAGGTCATATGATGAAGTATATGTCCAAACATTCCCGTCACACCCTCACAACAAATGACCTGAAGTACTCTTGGTAATATAGACGTCTGCTCGTTAGACACTACTAATTCAGTCAGGAATATCAAATACATAAAGCTGTTATACATGGCACCCCCCCTCCGCCTGCCATGATGAGGTCATCTAGCCATGATGCACATATTTGATCATGACAGATCACTTATTATGAGCTTCACACAGTTTTTTCAGGGCATCTCAATTTGTAGAGGCCTACAGGTCTGTCATTTTGTACCAAATGAGTATGGGAGAAAAATTATTTCTGGGGTTAGACAAGAAAATTGTTGTCTCCATTCTGATGTCTACCATTAGCCATGAGTATATCTTTGCATCAAATGATGCTTTCATTATCCAGGACTGAAGAGGAGCACTTTTAAAAATAAGTCCATGTCTTTAGTTAAAGGGTGAGGAAGGCCAGAAGCTGCCTCAACATATGTGACTTTCTACATAGTAATAATAGAGCAATTTTCTGTCTGACATCGTAAAAACAAACCTGTCAATATACACTTTCTTGTTAGTAAAAACCTTTTGTAAGCAAACACTGTTTGTCAATGGACACCTTTTGTTAATAAATGCCTTTTTAGAGGGCAAACAACATTAATATCAGTAAATCCCTTTTTTATCAGTAAATATTTGTCATAAATGCCATTTTTATCAATAAACACCTTTTCTCAATAAACATGTTCTGGGATGCAATGATATATTAACAACCAGGCTATAATGATTCCCTGATGGTTTAGGGTGTGATAATACTTTGTGCAGTGACAGAATTATTCAATACAATTGTTGTATCGTTAGGCTACGTATTGACACGAAATGATCCACATACATAAAAGTAACATCTAAACAGCATGGAAAATAAATGTTTATAATAAATGTTTTTTTTATAAATTCTCTCATATCAACCTAATGGCCTGTAACAGAATTCCTGAGCAATGATTTTTGGTTTACACAAGTTTTCTCAGTAATATTTCTGTGGTACTTTTGACTATGGATGGTGTTTCTGGATGATGTTAATGCACTGCTTGATACATGTACTGTACTGTGCCAAATTGTATGGTCAGAAACATAATTTAATATTTCTCCAAACTAACATGCAAGTCCGGGGCGAAGTCCAGGCTGGTTAGTCTTCTCGTACTGAGACAAGATGAACCCTGGGATACCGCTGACTGCTTTCCCCTGATTGGCTGCAGCTCCTTGTCGCCGTAGCGATGAGTGGTAGATGCCTCTTGGAAGACTTTCTACCTCTTTGCCAACCATGGATGATAAAAATACTTCATAATCTGAAAATATATTAAATTCAAACTTTAAAACATATGATGCTCCTGAAAATGAAACAACTGGAGTGAGAGGTCAAAAGAAGGACGGAGAGACGGGGAAGGAGGTCAGGAGGAAGGGGGAAGAAGGGAGGAATGGGAGGAAGAAAATGAGAGTGAGTAGGCGAGTGAGTTTAGTCTTATGCTGCTTTTAGCAATATTCCAGCAATAACACAGCGGGAACACCAGAAATGGACTTCACACATTGTACCCATGTGGGGAATCGAACCAGGGTTTTCAGAGTGACGAGCGAACACTTTAACCACTAAGCTACCCAATCACCCTGAAGGGAATGAGAAAGGGAGGTTAAATTACACTTATCAGTGAAGGAGAAAGTAAGTTTGGTTATGGTCAGTGTTTCATGTTGATCAAGTCTGGTGTAGGAGGAAATCAAGAAGTGAAGCAGGTCATTGATGTTTACCAGTTTGGCAGGCTACAGGCTACAAACATAAACAGATCTCGAAAATGCAATTAATACAAATTCAGGGGGAGGACACGATGAAATTAACATTATCACCAAACCTTCCAGATTTGTGATGAAAACTGAAAGTGTGAATGTTGGTATACCTTCGAGAACCTGTGCATGGAGGGTCTTGAGCAGACGTGTGTAGCAGACGCCAGGTATGAATGTAAGGATCTGGTCGATGGTCAAGTCAGGGTCATCTTGCTGTGCTGCTATCTGGGCTGCTTGCTCACGGAGGTCTTCCGTTACCTGTAACAAGGGGCATGGATGTAATCACACTTTGGATTCAAGTTCAATAGTAAGTGACAAGGTCATGCTTGTGGCTGTCGTATGGTAACAGTGGGTGGGTGGGTGGGTGGGTGGGTGGGTGGGTGGGTGGGTGGGTGGGTGGGGTGGGGTGAGTGAGTGGAGTGAGTGAGTGAGTGAGTGAGTGAGTGGAGGAGTGAGTGAGTGAGTGAGTGGTGAGGTGAGTGAGTGAGTGAGTGAGTGAGTGAGTGAGTGAGTGAGAGTGAGGAGGAGTGAGTGAGTGAGTGAGTGAGTGAGTGAGTGGAGGTGAGTGAGTGAGTGAGTGAGGAGTGAGTGGTGAGTGAGTGAGTGAGGTGGAGTGAGTGAGTGAGTGAGTGAGTGAGTGAGTGAGTGAGTGAGGTGAGTGAGTGGTGGAGGTGAGTGAGTGAGTGAGTGAGTGAGTGAGTGAGTGAGTGAGTGAGTGAGTGGTGAGTGAGTGAGTGAGAGTGAGTGAGTGAGAGTGAGTGAGTGAGTGATGAGTGCCCGCCGATTACACAATAAAGGGCCAACTGTAACATGAACTCAAAAGCACAAGTGGGTTTGGTTCGATTCCCCACATGGGCACAATGTGTTAAGCCCATTTCTGGTGTGAGTGCCGTGATATTGCTGGAATATTGCTAAAAGCGGCGTAAAACTAAACTCAGACAGTCAGTCAAAAGCACAATGTTATTTTCATCAACACCACCAAAGACATGGATTGCACAAACTGAAAGCACTAGGTGTACATCCTCAGACCAACAATCTCAGGAAAAACTTCCTCCCCTGAACTGTAATTACACAACTGCCTGAATATGTTTTCATGTCCATTATCAACTCAGCAGTGGAAATGGAGAGTATTTTTTACCAGTGCATGATGGGGTGTTATTTCTTTAGCTGGTATTTGAAATGACGATCTGTAATTGGTGTGACTGGCGTGGAAAGTGAGTAGGCTTTAAACAGGGTTATTTGGTGTATTCCACAAAATCAAACATCAGTGTACCGTGAAACAAATGTCATCGTGATGTAGCAACGTTGTAGTGCTATTAATCTTATTTGACAATAACAGCTGAAGCCAGGTTTCAGAGAACAGCAGTGTCCAGATGACTGGTGCTTGTGGCTGTCTGGTGATTACAGTGAGTGTGTACATGGGTCAGTGAGTGAGTTAACAGATACAAGGTGCAAACAAGAAACAATTTAATTTTACAAATCTCTTTCGTATAAATTTTCCTGTCCAAATATGATGTGTACCTGTTTTGGTTTGACTGACTTTATCAGGTAAATACATCAAGCACATATGGGTGAGCTACCACATAACTCTTGTGAGTGAGTGAGTGAGTGAGTTTGTGAGTGAGTTTGTGAGTGAGTGAGTGAGTACCTGAGTGAGTACCTGACTGAGTGAGTACCTGAGTGAGTACCTGAGTGAGTGAGTACGTGAGTGAGTGAGTACCTGAGTGAGTGAGAACCTGAGTGAGTACCTGAGTGAGTGAGTGAGTACCTGAGTGAGGTGAGTGAGTACCTGAGTGAGTGAGTGAGTACCTGAGTGAGTACCTGACTGAGTGAGTACCTGAGTGAGTGAGTGAGTGAGTACCTGAGTGAGTGAGTGAGTACCTGAGTGAGTGAGTACCTGAGTGAGTGAGTACCTGAGTAAGTGAGTGAGTCAGTGAGTGAGTACCAGAGTGAGTGAGAGAGTGAGTGAGTGAGTACCTGAGTGAATGAGTACCTGAGTGAGTACCTGATTGAGTGAGTGAGTACCTGAGTGAATGAGTACCTGAGTGAGTGATTACTGAGTGAGTACGTGAGTGAGTGAGTACCTGAGTGAGTGAGTACCTGAGTGAGTACATGAGTAAGTACCTGAGTGAGTACCTGAGTGAGTGAGTGAGTACCTGAGTGAATGAGTACCTGAGTGAGTCATTAAGAGAGTGTGAACCTAGAACCATGGATATCATTAAAATCTTTTCCATGTCAGCTTCGCCTCATGGTTGCATGCTTACTTGTTGTTAAATGCTTCACTTCATGAAAAATGGTCTGTTAATAATAGGGCTGCACAACATAACCGGTTTACCGGTATATACCGGTTCAGACATGAAAATGATATGCATTGTGATACGTTGATCGAAAACTGGTATTTTGACATGAATTCGGAAACTTGGTAACACTCGAAAATCTTCGGATATTTCCGTTTTTTTACACTGGAAGCCATGCGTTTGTTGTAAAATGGTGACCCCCAACAATGAACAATTTATTGTGGTGCCAAATACTAGGGCAAAGTCATTGGTAAGGCAGCATTTTGGGTTGAAAAAGTTCACGGTAGATGGAACTATTGGTAAGAGTAACGCGGTATGTAAAATATGCAATGGTAAAGTAGTTTTTATTAAAGCTTAATCAGGCATAGTGATTTTGTTGTGTTTTTGCTTTATAAATCAAGCATTAACGTCCTGCAATATATTGCAATACATATCGCAATACATGTTTTCGCATCGCAATATATCGCAATATGAAAATTCTTTGCAATACCGACCCCTAGTAAATAACCTGACAGAATAGAACAATATGGAAAAGAAAAGAACTTTTCACTCAGACCGATATACTGGGCATGTGAGGTACAAATACACACAGCCAAAACACACAATCTGTTAATGAAAAACAAGTAATTTTTATGTGAGCAATAATCCATGCTGTTGTAGTACAAGGACATACAATCAACCAAGTAATCGAGCCATCACCTTTAGTCACCTCTAAATAACACCAAAAGTGGCAACAATTCTAACCCAGCATCCCTACGATCATAATTGACTGATGTGATGCGTAGCCTTGAGTTTCTTCTGTAACAGGGGCCGTGGGGTAGCCTAGTGGTTAAAGCGTTGACTCGTCACGCCGAAGACCCGGGTTTGAATCCCCACATGGGTACAATGTGTGAAGCCCATTTCTGGTGTCCCCGCCGTGATGTTGCTGGAATATTGCTAAAAGCGGCGTAAAACCAAACTCAGTCAGTCAGTCAGTCTTATGTAACAATAGTGACTGATAAAATCTTATTTGTAACACAGAACTACAGATTATCAGAGATGCTCACCTGGGCAGGCAGGAAGCTGACAAGGAACTGGTCCGGGGAGAACGCGGACAGTGCTCGGAGTGCTGCTCCCTGGATGGTGGTGTTGTCACTGTGACAGTATAACCACAGGTTCCGCACAACCTCCACCTGAAAGCTCTGGGCAAAAGACAAATATGATCCTACATTATGAGTTAAAACAGTTGGGGGGAGTTGCACTTAAAGTTGTAATCCTGTACAATACAAAAAGTTTAGCTAAAACTGAGAGTTGGAAGTTGTGTACTGGTACTTTCAGCTTGGAAATCCTGTACAATACACCCAGTATTCAACATGTAACCATTTCTGGGGAAGTTCTCATTTCATTATGTCTTTTCAAGTTTGTTATCAGACCCGTTTGTGTGGGATTTTCTTTTTTTCAAAACTGATTAGACCATGAGATGAGATTTCATTCTGTGTTTGTAAGAATTATTTTGTTCCCACAGGTTGTACATGGTTTGTCCACACATCTCATCCAGCTGTTGTACCTCAAACTCAGGAGTCTTCTCTGCCAGTGAAGCCACGAGAGAAAACAGGTCACAGATCTTCTCCACGACGGGCGGCCTGGAATGAATGAATGAGTGAATGTTGCCTGATCAATAACACAATGGTCACATGTCAGAAGCCAGAAATATGTGAGTGCTCATGTTGGCCAGGAATGAGTGAGTGAGTGAGCAAAGGTTAGATGCTGTGGTCAATATTAGCGTGAGTGAGTTTAGTTTTACGCTGCACTCATCAATATTACAGCGATATGGCAGCGGTCTGTAAATAATCGAGTCTGGACCAGACAATCCAGTGATCAACAGCATGAGCATCGATCTACGCAATTAGGAACCAATGACATGTGACAACCAAGTCAGCGAGTCTGACCACCCAATCCCTTTAGTCGCCTCTTACGACAAGCATGGGTTACTGAAAATCAATTCTAACCCAGACCTTCACGGGTATCCTAGTGCACTGACTCTATATAAGTATAGTATGTCAACAGCAGCACTTAGCAGCAGTAACCACCGGTGTCCACTACTCAGCTCTGTCTGATGCCCTCCGGTCAATGGTCTTTTTTCCCCTTCTAACGCGGACCTTCACGGGTAGGTCAATATTAGAGCTACAAATCATGCTAGTGTCCCTTAAATATCTCCTGCACCAGGTGAAACCAGTGGATGATAGTATGAACAACAGCTCATCAGGGTACACAATGAGCCAGGTAACACTGTGTAACCATCGGACCCTGCTAATAGTCACCTGTAATGACAAGCAATGTGAACAGTGCATAGATTTTGCCCTATCAGATAGAAACTGGGGGACAGAACACTTTGCATAATTGCTCTTGTTCAAAACTTTTCCTGATATAATATCTTAAAATTAATAGAATACTCTTGTTTGATGGCACTTTACTCTGTCAAGTCCTACATATGAAGACATTTAACCGTTAAGCCACACAGACACACACTCTCCCACAAGGGATTTGCTTCAGTTCTCAAATTGCTATCATAATGTGGATCCATTTTCATGTCAATCTTTTATGCCTTTCTAAAGAATTGTTTTAGAGATAACCCAAAATGTATACGTATTTTAAACCTGACCATGTCAATTTTACTTTTCTACAAGAAAACAAGCCATCAGTATTCATTTCAATATTGTCAGCTTCAGTTGTCAGTAAATGTCAAATTTGAAAAAGCAAAATCATTGCAAGCATGCCAAGGAAGAAAATAAATTGTACACAAATCTTTGGCACTTTCCAATTTTTATATGTCTGACAGATGCAAATTAATACTGACTCACATGTTTCATGGATAGGAATAAAGCAAATGTAATATCTTTCTTTTATTTAGTGATTGTTTCGTCACAAGCAGCTATTTGCTCCCATAGCTCTTGCTGAATGTTTGTTAGGGACATAGAGTAATGTGTGAGACAACAGAGTTTGATTGTTGTTCAACCCAGCACTCAGCAATATTTCAATTATATGACAGTAGATGCTGCAATCCTGGGTCAACATACATGCACACCTACCTACAATCCTGGGTCAACATACAGCAGGTGCACCTACCTGCAATCCTGGGTCAACATACAGGTGCACCCACCTACAATCCTGGGTCAACATACAGGTCAACATACAGGTGACACACCTACCTGCAATCCTGGGTCAACATACAGGTGACACACTGGGTCAACATACAGGTGCATCACATACCTGCAATGGGTCAACATACAGGTGACACACTTACCTGCAATCCTGGGTCAACATACAGGTGACACACTTACCTGCAATCCTGGGTCAACTTGTCTGCGAGGACGGACCAGGCAGATCGGATGTTGATTACCTGTATTTAAGATATAATACTTCCTTCAGTTACTTAAATCACTCAGTGCATGAAGGTGGAAATGCCTGACTCAACAATAAATGTCAATAGAAAAAATATATATAGAGGGTAGTCCATAGTCCAGATAGTTAATGCAGCATTGTATCATGTCCTAAAATGTCATCCTGTTGTTGTCCTATAACTGCGGTATACATCAGGTTGTTGTGGCAGGACTTCTGCCATGTTTGGTGGCGTACTGAGCAATATACCAGCAATATGATGGCGGGTTGAGAATAATCAATCTGTTATAAACCGGATTCTAAAGCAACATCCAAGCATGAATTATTTTGACAAATTGCTTGCATTTATCTTGCATGTTTTATGCTATGTCCAAACCCTATTTTACCAAAATCTATTAACTTGGGAACATAGGAGTCAAAGCGCTACAAAATCTTGTGGAACATGTTACTGGGAACCCCGAAACAAGTATTCAGGAGATGAATAGGAAGTCATTAATGAGCCCTGCCACTGGAAACATTATATGCATCAACTATGCAATAAATCTTATATGGCCTGTGTTATCGGTGATCGGAAAGAAAGTCACAGGCAAAAAAGTAACGTATAAAAAGTCACAATTTGGCTATGAAAAAAAAGTCAGGACAAAAAGTCACAATAACTGTTTATTATCTGTGTAATATGTGTGACCCCCGTCCACTGATCCGTGGCCTCTCCCACTCTTGGTTTCATGCTCCATTTACCTCATTAATTATGTTATCATGTCAAAAACAGTAGCTGAGACAATTGAGACATCTTACAACCCACGAGTTTATCATATTACCAGTATATATACATTATTGCATTGTGACTTTTTTATCTGTGACTTTTTATCCATAACTTTTTATCCATGACTTTTTAGCCATGACTTTTTAGCCGTGACTTTTTATCCATGACTTTTTAGCCGTGACTTTTTCCTGTGACCTTCTTCCCTACATTCATGTTCTACAGATACTGAAATTCAAGGACTGCATCGCAAACACGGGACTGCTTGTTATGACAACCATTAGTGTATGTCAAGTGTTCAGCCCAGAGCTATGACTGCTTGCTACAATGCTGCTGGACTGTACAGACCTCTGCTTCACAGAGACTAGCCAGACCCTCCAGGACCAGAGCACAAGCAGCACTGCCCTCCTCCCCACTGTGACTGTTCAGGATGTCCGAGATGGGAGACAGGAGGTCCGACCCATGCTGTCCAGGTCTGAAACAGGGAAGGAAGATCTCAATCTGATAGGTGGAAGGAGGATATTTTCTAAAAGTATGGTTATACAGTAGAATACTTTTATAATGAACACAGATATAACGAACTGACGGCTATAACGAACGGTTTTAAAAGTCCAGAATAAACCTTATATTATCATATAAAAAAGTGAATAGCGAACTACGGGTATAACGAACTAATTTCAGTGGTCCCTTGGAGTTCGTTATAAAGGTATTTTACTGTATTTTTATTTGGGTATCACATCTACCCGACTAGCAATACTTCCAAAATAAAACCATGTTGTTTTCTGATTTAAAGATATGGAAAATCTTTTTGTATGTTTTCTTACATCCCATTTGTTTCAGATAGCGATAAATAATGACAGCAACCATTGGTGGTGTGTAACTTTAGACCGCCTTGTGCCTCTATGGACTATTGCCATGTTCCAACTTACCTCATCTGACATATGTCCCGAATGGCTGCAGCTTTGGCCAGGGTGACCTCATCAATGCCGCCTGGACCCATCCGTCCTGGGGATTCTTCTGTGAGCAGGGCAAGGAGCTGGGGGAAGGTGCGGTCTTGAAGTTTCCACAGAGACGTCATCAGTCTGATGGAGATGGCTCGAAGTCTGGGAGAGTTGGACATCAGTTGGATTGTCTTCAGGATGGGTGCAATGCAGAACTGGAAGATGAAAGAGTATCAATATTAAATTACATTTGTGACATCATTGCATAGTCTGCTCGCTCCATTTTTTTTGAGGAATGGAGTGATGTGTACCAGTTTCAAATGTAAGACTTTGACATTTTGACATTTAATTTTGATAACAGAAATATTACCAATACTTTGAATATAACTTAAGAAGGAAAATAATCTTGTAACACTTGAGGACGAGGACATTACCCTCTACAAACTGCATGGAAGATGCCTTTGGAGTAACAATGATGTACAGTCAGTTAATTTTACTGATAGTTAAAACAGAAACACTGAGGATTGTCATCAAAACCAACTTTCAGTGTTGTCACTGAGGACCTTGTCGATGGTCAACATTGTTTGTCCAGTCAGGGTACAGCTCCCTACCTTGTGTGTGGCCAGTTGGGGAATGGCCTCCATAATGGCCAGCTTCATCTCCGGGTCGGCCTCCCGTCCCAGCCGGTACAGCAGCAGGGGAAGTAAGCCTGGAGCCTGCAGCATCACAATGAATGGAGGTTGATTCGACGGAATGACAACAGTCAATCTTCCTCAGGGTTTACAACGTTTATTGGCTCATGTTCATATATTTGATGTCAAGAGACACTTGAGATTCATGCAGAACTAGTAGAGGTTAATGTTCTCTTGAAAAGCTTGCATAAAAATACCTTTGTTTTGGGGATGTAGAATCAAGAAATCTAAAAACACTATGATTATGAAAGTGAGTATATGGTTACATGGATGCCATGTTGGAAACTCAAAGAGTTATCCCCCTTTGCCCAAGGGTACACATTAGCAATCTGGAGTTGTTTTCCTTAGGCCATCACATAACCTGGGCATATGACTATGCCATTCAATATACATGAATTAAGTGAGTCTGTGAATGCTGATTTATATTTTCAACTATATCAAACTGACCTGTAAATAATAAACTTTAGACTTATAAAGCAACACTTTAATGTGTGATTAATGACCTTCACCTTCAGACTATTGTGACAAACAATATTAAGCCAGTTCATTCATTGTGGCCAGCCGATCCTCGTTAATATTCACTAATGGCAGGCACCGTTTCTGATGTCAAATCTCTACCTGTGAGTAATCACGCTTGGCAATCTCCACTATAGTTTCCAGGGCCTGCTCAGACAGCTCCTTTGAGGATGGCACAACGAAGAGGGCAGCAGTCAGGCTGGCGACGTTCAGCGGCACCATCTTGGAACTGGCGATGTTGGTGGTGACATTCTCCAGCCAGATACAAGCAGTACTCTCACTGTGGCCAAAGGTCCATGCAAGGGACACGTACATCTGGTTTGTGTAGCCATTCGGGGTGGCACTGGGCAGAGGGACACTCTCCTGCAATAGAGACATACTGACTTGAGAAGTAGAACATTTACTGAAATGTATCAGTGAGGAAAAAATATTGATATCGATAAATACACAATGACTTTTGGTCAAATGTAGCAAATTTGGGATGACACTTTCTGGGATTCGAACCCACACACTGAAAGTCAGGCATCTAGATGCACATCCAGAGTTAGTAATCTCATTGTCTCAGCCATCAAGGGAACACTATAAATGGGCTTCACACATTGTATCCATGTGGGGAATCAAACCTGGGTCTTCGGGCATGACTAGCTAACGCTTTAACCACTAAGCCACCCTATCACGCCTGTTCTGACAATAAGACATTGTGAAGTGCATGCGTTGACTAGGGGTGGTAATTACTGGTATAAATACTGAATTGATTTTATCTTCAAATGTAAAAATCTACTGACAGTTAATATGGCAATAAAATCTGCTGATAGTCAAGCATGGCAATAACATCTACTAACAATATTTCAGCTCTTCACAGAGTTTTTCACAGGTTTATAAACACTTAATTTCTTGGATCCATATACCTGTCCACTAGGCGGTTTGTGGAGTTGTAATCAGTGCAAACATATCTAACATTTTCATGCACAAACATCCATAATGCTGTCTGTCTCAGCAAACACAACTCCACTGAGTGATTGAAAGGATTATAAACTATGACGGTGGCAGCACTAAACTCCAAGTTGAAGAACTGATGGTAATAAAAGCTAAAGTATAATTCAATTTCAGTTTTATCAATCTTCCCAGTCTCAAGCCATTTAACCTTCTCATAAGCTTTTCACAATAGATGCAAGTTTTGATGATAAGGCCAGATCTATTACTAGTAATCATCTAAAAATTTCAAAATAAATAATTGTGCTTTTAGTTATCAGATCATAAAAAAGTACTGGTATATACAGTATTTGCTGTAATATGAACTCCAGCTTCATAGTGGGGACTTATCTCAAACAATATGCATTTGTTGTCAGACACCAAGTGGTAGAGAAGAGAATTGGTCCAAATTTTTATTGTATGCAATTTTATGTTATGCACAGTTACTTTTTTCCCTTTGTATATCTAAAACAAACCATCCTCACAATCAGGTCATACATTCAACTAGTCCAGATGACTTGACAAATGATTGAGCCATTTCATTAATAATTTGCAATTTAGATTTAAACTTTTCCAATCCATTTGTCTAAAAGGTTTTCAAAACATAACCTCATGCATTTGCGATTTGTTTTTTTTAATAATGTGACTTTTAGTGTTGCCAACGGGTTCCCTTGAGAGACTGATTTCAGAGTCCCAGGAACAAGGTAGAGGCTCCACAATGACTACAGTGGGTAATATGTTTATCACAGACTGTCATAGTGGGAGTAAGAGGGATGTGTTACAGCCACTCTATCTATTAACTTCACCTTTATTGACTGACATATAAAAAATGCAAGGTTACTGCCCAGACATGATCTGTGTACAAGACACAAGACAACTATTGATCCCTCGCGATCATAATCTGATTGTCTGACATGGTATGGCTTCTTTGATCATGCATGGTCAGTGCTGTGGTACCAAATATTTCATGAAGAAAACGTTTTGAGAAAAACAATTTCGGTCTATTGTTGTATTTGTGGTGGAATATCGTGATTGTCCCTGAGTGGCATGTTGATCTGACATTAATACAGAGGTTTTTAGTTCAATGAACTCACACAGAGTGAAGGTCAATTCTAAACCGTTTCCCTGAGACCCATGGATACTGTTTAATACCTTTGAATTATTGCTAGGATATCTGGGTCGTAAAGCCTTTATCAGAATTTTGTCAGGTCATAGACATACCTACTTGAGTGAGCCAATGACTGAGCAAGTGAGACCACAGACATGGCAAGAAACCAAGGTTCGTGACAAACATGAAGTTTCAATTTGAACCCATGATGATCCAAACACCTTATCACAAAACTCTGACCACCCAGCTACTGCACAACAATTGCCCTTTCAAAGAAGCCCCTAAGATCCGGGTTAGAATTGATCTTCAGTTACCCATGCTTGTCATAAGAGGCGACTAATAGGAACAGGTTGTCAGGCTCACTGACTTGGTTGACACATGTCATCGCATCCCAGATTGCGTAGATTGAAGCTGTTGATCACTGGATTGTCTGGATTGACTCGTTCATTAACACCGCTGCCATTTAACTGGAATATTGCTGAGTGTGGTGTAAAACTGAACTCTCTCACTCACTCACTTTCAAAGACATGCTGATCCTTTACAGCCATAAGTGGCCTTTAAAAGACATGCTGATCTCATGTGACCACAATTGGCCTTTCAAAGACATGCTATACGACCACAATTCAAAGACATGCTAATCCTATGTGACCACAATTGGCCTTTCAAAGACATTCTATTGGACCACAATTCAAAGACATGCTAATCCTATGTGACCACAATTGGCCTTTCAAAGACATACTATACAACCACAATTCAAAGACATGCTAATAATATGTGACCACAATTGGCCTTTCAAAGACATCCTATATGACCACAATTCAAAGACATGCTAATCCTATGTGGCCACATTTACCCTTTAAAAGACATCCTATACGACCACAATTCAAAGACATGCTAATAATATGTGGCCACAGTTGCCCTTTGAAAGACATGCTAATCCTATGTGGCCACAGGCCTAAATTGCTTTAAAAGACACAATCCTTTAAAAGGAGCATGCTAATTCATATTATTACCCTTTTGTGGCCACAGTTGCCCTTAAAAGACATGCTAACAGTTGCCCTTTACATGCTAATCCTATGTGGCCTAAAGTTGCCCTTTTAAAAGACATGCTATGCGACAGCTAAATCTATGTGGCCACAGTTGCCCTTTAAAAGTCATGCTAATTCTATGTGGCCACACTTGCCCTTTAAAAGACATGCTAATTCTATGTGGCCACAGTTGCCCTTTAAAAGACATGCTAATTCTATGTGGCCACACTTGCCCTTTAAAAGACATGCTAAGCCTAATTCTATTGCCCTTTGAAAAAAGACATGCTATGTGGCCTAAATTGCCCTTTGAAAGACATGCTAATCCTATGTGGCCACCTTTAAACCACAGTTGCCCTTTAAAAGACATGCTAATTCTATGTGGCCACACTTGCCCTTTAAAAGACATGCTAATTCTATGTGGCCACACTTGCCCTTTAAAAGACATGCTAGTCCTATGTGGCCATTGCCCTTTGAAAGACATGCTAATCCTACAATTGTGAAAGACCCTATGTGGCCATTGCCCTTTGAAAGACATGCTAATCCTATGTGGCCGTTGCCCTTTGAAAGACATGCTAATTCTGTGTGGCCGTTGCCCTTTGAAAGACATGCTAGTCCTATGTGGCCGTTGCCCTTTGAAAGACATGCTAGTCCTATGTGGCCGTTGCCCTTTGAAAGACATGCTAGTCCTATGTGGCCGTTGCCCTTTGAAAGACATGCTGATCTATTTCCCAACTACATGTGACGGTGAAGTGTAAGAGGCAGAGATAGTGTATCTGTGCATGAAACAACTGAGGAGATTTCCATGTAAGAGATGACACATCATGGATGTGAAACACAAATGTCTGATACAAAACCTTCTACTGACACTGAACAACATATATCTCCACATTCATCCCCCAAATCTCTGTATAAAACTCAATTCCTGTGTAATTTCCCTTCCTCTATTACATGATTGCGTTGATGAATCAGCCCCAAGATATGTATATATCCATAAAGATTGGCCCAAAGTGTAGCTCACATTGACAGTATGTAGATTCTTACCCCTATCACTGTCTTCCTGTAACAATACATCTCTCAGTGGGGCTCGCGAGGTCGTAAACCAGTCATACATAAAGAATGGGGATAATGTAAACACACTTTCATCAACGATATACAAACAAAATAAATAACAGCAAAGCACAGGCTTGACCAACTTAACCGACATGTGTCACATAATTTTTTATATGCATTTGTTTTTGTGTAGAATCCTGATCAATAGGTGTGGAAAAAATAACATTTCAGATGTTTTGGTTGTGTCTGCACAATTTTTTTTTGAAAGTTGAAACCTCATGAATTTCTTCCATGAAACACCAAATCCTAACAGCACTGATAAGACTTTGAACATCTTATAGGTGTGACCACCTTTATCAATTGTGCATTGTTTCTTTTTATTTGGTTTTGATCTATCTTTTCTAAATTCAGTGCAAGGGTTCCTTCATTATCCTTCACCACCCAAGCATTTCCTTGTCATGGCAAATTTAGCAAACATAGTTTAGGAGTAATATGTTCCCTCTTAAATGTTGCCAGTTTTTCCTTACAAACACAAGACAATTCATGATTTCTTTTCATAAAAACACAAACATATTAAACACTGTGCTTGTTCAGAGTCATGACTCCTGTGCAAGTTAAGATAAGACGAAAAAGCCATTTCCTCATATCAGAATGTTCGCCACTAAAACTGACTGTGTTTAAACTGTAATAAATGTCAGCCATTGTTTTCATAGAGCAAATCATTGTTCCCAAATGAATGAGAACAGTATGCACTTGCCTGCCGAGAACTCCCCTTCACACAGTTTTTGATGATCTGTTCAATGGTTGCGAGGTCATCGGCAGCAGCTACCATGACCTGCTTGCGGCATGTGGACATCGCTTCCGCAGAAGCAGGTGCTGACAGTATCTGAAGAAGAGGCTGGACCAACATGGCTGCCAAGGTGGATGGACATGGATCAAGGTTGGTCAGCAAGAGATTGACTGAAACAAAGGTTTCAATAAAAACTGAAACACATTTTTAATGAGAACAACTTAGAACCATTGTTAATAATGTTTAGTATTTACATGTGAGAAATCTCTAAACCATATTTCTGTACCTATATACATATCAGTGTAATGTTTGCACTGTTATTTCTGAACACCTCTACTCCTAACAAACACACAAACTATTGATATGCTTGCCAGGAAAGTTTGAAACCTAGCTGACAAATCTAAAGATATCTCAATATCTGTTGATCTATAACAGACTTTGCTGGTCCAGGACAATGACTGGTAGAGGAAGTAAAAACTGATGCAGGATGTGTCATGTCTTCCAGTTTGGTTGAACTCTTCAACAAGAATATGGTACTAACAGACCAAGATAATAAAGTAATAATCAATGTAAACCAGAGATACATACATCATCATCAGATTCTGACACGGCTAGGGGATGTAACTCTCCTCGTTCAATTATGGTGCCTTAGATTGGGCTTCATCAGGTAACACATTTCGGATAAAGTCATCTCATGGATATATGGACTTCAAAACATTATTATCTTTCCCTCCCTCCTTCCTTCCCTCCATCCATCCACCCTCCCTCCATCAATCCACTCACCCATCCATCCATCTTCTATCCATCCACTCACCATCCATCCACCTTCTATCCATCCGCTCACCCATCCATCCACCTTCTCTCCATTCACTCACCCATACATCCACTCACCATCCATCCACCTTCTATCCATCCGCTCACCCATCCATCCACCTTCTCTCCATCCACTTACCCATCCATCCAGCTTCTATCCATCCACTCACCCATCCACCCACCTTCTATCCATCCACTCACCCATCCACCCACCTTCTATCCATCCACTCACCCATCCATCCACCCTCCCTCCATCCATCCACCTTCTCTCCATCCACTCACCCATCCATCCACCTTCTATCATTCCACTCACCCATCCATCCACCTTCTATCCATCCACTCACCCATCCATCCACCTTCTCTCCAACCACTCACCCATCCACCCACCTTCTATCCATCCACTCACCCATCGATCCACCTCTCCGTCCATCCATCCACTCTCCTCCATCCATCCACCTCTCCATCCACTCACCCATCCATCCACCCTCTCCCTCAATCATCATCATTGCCTCCCTCCCTCCCTCATCCATCCATCCACTCACCCACCCATCCACCCCCTCCCTCCACCTTCTCTCCATCCACTCACCCTCCATCCATCCACCTTCTCTCCCTCCATCAACCCACCTTCTCTCCATCCACTCACCCTCCCCATCCACCCTCCCTCCATCCACTCACCCATCATCCATCCATCTCTCTCTCCTCCACCTCTTCCCTCCACCCACCCACCCTCCATCCATCCACCTTCTCTCCATCCCCTCACCCATCCATCAACCCTCTCTCTCTCCATCCATCTCTCCATCCACCCACCATCCATCCACCCACCTCTCCATCATCTCACCGTCCATCCATCCACCTTCTCTCCATCCACTCACCCATCATCCACCCTCCCTCTCTCCCTCCATCCATCCACCTTTCCATCCACCCACTCAACCACCCTCCTTCCCTCCATCCACTCACCCATCCATCCACTCACCCTCCATCCATCCACCCTCTCTCCCTCCATCCATCCACCCTTCCATCCACCCTCCCTCCATCCCTCTCTTACACTTTTCAGTGCTTCTGTGCTAGCTCACTCTGATACCATGCCACAGTTGAACATAGACACCCAGTGAACACACCGTACAGACTCCAAGGTGGTTCATCCTTGTTTCATCTCCTTAACGCCAAGTGCCAGGCAGAGTAATAACAACTTAAAGGGCTCAGTGAGTAGAGGCAGAGACTGATAGCTAGTGCAAGGTGCACACAGACATTACCGATCTGCAGGAGATATAGGCACCGTGTAGAATCAGCAGAAACCAGGAGTTCACTCAGGGCAGGAATGTTCTTCTCACTACACACCGCCTGAAATCACATCAGTCACATCAGACATGACAATACCATCATAATAGGATTACAATTTATTGGACATCATAGACACACAGTACTTCAACATTTCTAACATACAAAAATCTGCAAATAGCAAAAGGCACCACTTTGGGATCTGCCTCACATATCTGCCAAGTTTTGCTGAAAGATATTAAGAAGTTTTGGGTTGTGCTCGAAACAAAACCTACCTCTCCTTTTGAGACTAAGTCCAAATTGTTTTCATGGAAACTGAGAAAATAATAAATCACAAATATCTGCAAATAGCAAAGGCACCACTTTGGCATCTGCCCTGACATATCTGCCAAGTTTTGCTGAAAGATATTAAGAAGTTTTCCAGTTGTGTTCGAAACGAAACCCATCCCTTCCTTTTGAGACTAAGTCCGAATCATTTCCATGGAAACCGAGAAAGTAATAAATCACAAATATCTGCAAATGGCAAAGGCACCACTTCAAGATCTGCCTCACATATCTGCCAAGTTTTGCTGAAAGATATAGAGGTTTTTGAGTTGTGCTCCGGAAACGAAGCCCACCCTCACTTTTGGGATTAAGTCCAATCGTTTCCATGGAAACCGGAAAAATAAAAATACCAAAATCTGTAAATAGCAAAAGGCACAACTTTAGGATCTGTTTGATATATCTACCAAGTTTTGTTGAAAAAATATTATCACGGTTTTTGAGTTGTGCTCGAGGAAGCGAAAGCAATCCTTACTTTTTGAGACTAAGTCCAAAATGTTTCCATGGAAACCGGGAAAAATAAAATGACAAAAATCTGCAAATAGCAAAGGCACCACTTAAGGTTCTGTTTCATACATCTACCAAGTTTTGTTGAAAAATATTGAGCGGTTCTTGAGTTATGCTCGAAACGGAAGCCCACCCCTCACTTTTGGGATTAAGTCGAATCGTTTCCATGGAAACCGGGAAAATAAAAATACCAAAATCTGCAAATAGCAAAAGGCACCACTTAAGGTTCTGTTTGATATATCTACCAAGTCTTGTTGAAAAATATTGAGCGGTTCTTGAGTTATGCTCGAAAGCAAGCCCACCCTCACTTTTGGGATTAAGTCCGAATCATTTCCATGGAAACCGCGAAAAATAAAAATGCCAAAAATCTGTAAATAGCAAAAGGCACAACTTTAGGATCTGTTTGATATATCTACCAAGTTTTGTTGAAAAATATTATACGGTTTTGAGTTGTGCTCGAAGCGAAAGCAATCCTTACTTTTTGAGACTAAGTCCAAAAATGTTTCCATGGAAACCAAGAAAAATAAAAATGACAAAAATCTGCAAATAGCAAAAGGCACCACTTAAGGTTCTGTTTCATACATCTACCAAGTTTTGTTGAAAATATTGAACAGTTCTTGAGTTATGCTCCGAAACCAAGCCCACCCCTCACTTTTGGGATTAAGTCCGAATCGTTTCCATGGAAACCGGAAAAATAAAAATACCAAAAATCTGCAAATAGCAAAGGCACCACTTAAGGTTCTGTTTGATATATCTACCAAGTCTTGTTGAAAAATATTGAACGGTTCTTGAGTTATGCTCGGAAACGAAGCCCACCCTCACACTTTTGGGATTAAGTCGAATCATTTCCATGGAAACCGGAAAAATAAAATGCCAAAAATCTGTAAATAGCAAAAGGCACAACTTTAGGATCTGTTTGATATATCTACCAAGTTTTGTTGAAAAATATTATACGGTTTTTTGAGTTGTGCTCGGAAACGAAAAGCAATCCTTACTTTTGAGACTAAGTCCAAAATGTTTCCATGGAAACCAAGAAAAATAAAATGCCAAAAATCTGCAAATAGCAAAAGGCACAACTTTAGGATCTGTTTGATATATCTATCCAGTTTTGTTGAAAAATATTGAATGGTTCTTGAGTTATGCTCGGAAAGCGAAAGCAATCCTTACTTTTGAGACTAAGTCCAAAATGTTTCCATGGAAACCGGAAAAATAAAAATGGCAAAATCTGCAAATACCAAAAGGCACCCCTCATGGTTCTGTTTGATATATCTACCAACTTTTGTTGAAAAATATTGAACGGTTCTTGAGTTATGCTCTGGAAACAAAATGATTTAACAAGTCACTTTGTTTGTTTCTTGTTCAGGGTGTAAATAATCATATGTATTCATATTTCAAGAAAGGTAAGAACTTGACAGTACTTGAGAATAGGAAGTAAGGAATATTTCAAATGGTAGTTAACTATTTTTTTCAGAAACAAACACCAAACCAAATGTTGGTTTGGTAATTGATTTTAATCAGTGCAAACAATTAATTGTCAGAAAGTAATGTTTCAAAACACATTGCTCATCAGTGAACACCTCAATTGCAAAAACAAAATATTTTACCTTTTCTATTTCACCTTAGTCCAAATATACATTCCACATTTTGAACAAACATACTCTCACAGAATGTAATCTGCAAACCTGGAAACAGGATTTCTGAAGACTTTGAGGTAGTAGACTCAATACAGGGGAAAACTCATATTGAACTGTTTTGTCACAGAAATCACACAAAGAATAATCTGCATTCTGATGCCTGACAATTGCATGTAGCTGTAGATTCATATCTGCCTCTCACAATGTCCATGTAAAAGACATTTCATAAAGTTTATACAGTCTAAAATCAGGTTTCCGTCTGACAATGCACAGTGACAGTGAGAGAGAGTTTGGGTTTGTTGCTTAACAGTATTCCCCTTATATCACAGTATGTCAGCCTGATGACCAAGGAAATCAAGAAGTCAGGCAGGCCTTAAACATTTCACACTTTTCTGAAAACTCATGAGCACAGATATGGTGATCAGAAACCTACAGCCACATTCAACTGGAATTCAAACCCATGATTATAGGTTCTGGTTTGTCTAAGGAATGCAACTCTTCGCTGTGAATTACACTGCCTTCAACATCTGGGCCAACTCTGTCCAAATAAGTTGCAGTCTTACTTACTAGTTTTTGTACCATGCATAAACACACTAAACATGATCTACTTATACTGCTGGTGTTGTGGATCTAATCTGGTTTGCTCCTGCTTGTTCAATAGGTCACGTTAAACAGACCTGAAGCATTGGATGAATTCACCATCAGGTAACACGTCTGGGGCGACTTTGTCCTCACACAACCATCTTGTTAATGTTAGGTTATCTGTCCCTGCATTTTACACAATTCCGCAAATAATCCGAATGAAAGTCCAGTTTAACAATGTTACTATTGACCATTCTACTGCCCATCTTGAGTGGAGTTTGGGCAAGAACTCTCAACAGACTGCTGTTAGTCTTTTGGATATTTGTCCTTGTTACTGGCAACATAAAAGTGACCTCCGTGTTCAAAGGGTACCCAAATTCATCTGTGTCTGACAAGAATACCAATTTGAACTGTCTGTATCAGTTGCAATGAAGTGAAGGAGTTTAGTGAGTGTTAGCAAGAGAGGGTTTGAGTATATAACTTGTGTACTTATGTAGTGGTATGTCTGACAACTGGTTAACAGACTGAACTTTCCCACACACAGCCAGAGCCTGATGCATACAAGATGAGGAAGAACTACAACATGTTTTCCCAGGTATAATTCTCAAATACAATACCTAATTCTACTCGTCCATTCAATCAGTAATATTTCTTAATTAAGAGCAAAATATTCAAAGAACCCAGAAATATCATAGTGCCTGTTCACACGTTCCAGGGACCATAAGTGTCCATGATAATATGATCCAGGGATCATCAGAGTGCCTCCTAAGAGAATCCAGGGACCATAATCATAAATGATAATTGGATCAAAGGATCATTAGTGTACCTGTAGAAAGGATCCAAAGATCATCAGAAGGCTTGATCACAAGATCCAATGGCCATAAGTGTGGATGATAACAGGATCCAGGGATCATCAGCTGGCCTGATTACATGATCCAATGATCATCAGAGCACCAGTTGATATGATCCAAGGATCATTTAGAAGGCTTGCCTACAAGATCCAAGGGCCATAGGTGTACATGTTAATAGGATAAAGGGTTCATGAGAGTGCCTGATAACAGGATCCAAGGATCACAAGTGTGTCTGTTGATATGATCCAGGGATCATCAGAGGGCCTGATTACAAGATCCAGGGATGTGACAACTTGATCTGTGAATCATCAAAGTGTCTGCTAACAGAATCGAAGCTTCACTTTACCAAAAAGCAGGATCATGGGATGGCAGTGCCTGATAAAGGGCCTGGGATGATCATAGTGCAGGATAAAACTGACTAGGGATCATGGTGCCTGATCAAGGATTCGATGTTTTACTTTCCATTTGCCTCCTTTCACTATTTATTGTTACAAGGATTACTCAAATACAATTTATGTTTCAAAACAGGCCATTAATTGCCTCTCTACCCCATTCTTAATGCAGTTGTGTCATAAGTGACTAAGTGACCACTTTGTTGAGAAACATTACAGATAACCATCTGGGGAACAATATGTAATCTGCCACACCACCATGAATCTATCTTGAAAATAACTCATACATTTTGAATATTTAAGTTTTAACTTTTCAAACTTACATACAACTGAAAGTCAACTGTATTAAGTCAAAATATGTACAACCACAGTCTAACATGATCAAACACATTACGCTTGTTGGTTCTGTGGTGAACTAATTCCTTACATCAGCAAAGCGTGGACCATTATGCTATAACAGTCATGTCAGTTCCACTGGCGCCTTCATATTCCTTTCAACAAAATGTGCCCATTTTGATCTGTCTGTGCCCTTGGGTGCTTGACATGGAGAACTGGGAGACTTTATTGGTGTTTGTGGCCATGGTGTAGACCTTCCCACATTTCAAGTATGTCTAAACTGGAGACTCAGGATTTGAAATTTAGATTAAATTGCCAAAGCCTCGAGGACACACTCGTGCAAAGAGTTGAGTGCCCTTCGGACATGCAGAGCGTTTTGTATATCTTGAAATTCATCCAAGAAGCAATTTTAAATAATTTGACTTTGAGTCTCGAATGTTCAGGATTAGTGTTAGTTTAAGAACACTGTGTACCAATAAAAGAGATATTTATTGACAGGTTCTGAAAGCCTGAATACCATTGTGATTAATAACTGGTTGATCAACATGGGAAAAAAAGGTAATTTCTTATTGCAAAAACAATCTCTTTCCATCACATCTTCACCAATTATATCAACTTGAACAAATTGTAACTTCAAGATGAAATAGAATTGAACTCACAATGAAATAAAAAATGTTTTATGTTTATGCAACATATCACCAGATGAATCGGTCTAACAAACTGTTTAAAGTGTTGAGTATAAATGAAATGAAGTAATAGGATTGGCTTGTTCTGAACATTATCAATGTTGTAAAGTAACCCGCATCTTGTTATCACAGACCTGATCATGTAGTAACAAGGTGGCTCAAATTAGACTTTAGGTACTGTAGCTCACCACAAACTATCTTGCATAAGATGCTTTAGTGATTGAGTGAGTTTATTTTTACGCCACACTCAGCAATATTCCAGCTATAAGGCGGCGGTCTGGAAATAATCGAGTCTGGACCAGACAATCCAGTGATCAACAGCATGAGCATTGATATGCACAACTGGGAACCGATGACATGTGTCAACCAAGTCATGGGTTACTGAAGATCAATGTTCTAACCCGGACTTTCACGGGTCCATAAGATGCCTTAAGTAACATCAAATTTCTATAATATACATGTGATATTAGTTTCATGAAATTTTGTGATACAAGAATGACTAAATGCCCATTAGTAGCTGAAACAGTCACAGAATAAAACAAAGTCCAAAGCACTTTGTTCAGACCATACACTGATTAGGATACTCTATTATCATTTTACATAGATCTAAATAAGTAACATATAAGGCTTTTTTAATTTCCATTATATTCTATCTTTCAATAAGCTATTTGACCATTATTGAACAATATCAGATCGAACTCATTCCTAAATGTCCTTCAACAGAACAGGAAAAAATAGGTCTTGCAGCATGTTTGCCACAGAAATGAAACCATTACTGAATTTTTTATTGTGACAGTTTTGAATAAATATTCATTTTCTTAAATCTTAAAGTTGAAAATATAACATTCACATAAGTCTGCATAAACTGCTTATCTTATTAACAGCATTGAAATACCTGCCTTCCCGTCCGCCCGGGATGGGTTATTTTCAACATGGCCTGCCAGATTCTCAAATTTACCTGCCAGACAGTTAGGTTAAAATTTAGACATGTATATGAAGATATTTTGTGGGCAGGTAAGTTTTGGTCAGGGCTGTCAAGTTTTACATCTAACCAGCCCTGTGGTCCGGCTGAAATTTTTGGGACTTTCATAACCTGTTTTTAATCTTGAAAAAGACAAATCTAGGATTTGAACCCATAATAAACCAACAATAGAGTTTCCCATGTCTGATACCTGTGGGTGCTTTTCTACACAGAGCAGCACTGCCTTCTCCAGCCTGGCAGTGTCAATGCCCACTGTCCAGCAGGGCTGTAGGGAGCCCAGGCAGCAGGACACCAACCCTGCCAGTGTGGACATCTCTGTGGGTGACCAGGTCAGTCTGGTGGCAGTCCTCAGGATGTCCAGGAGGAACACTGTCAGGTTGGCCAAGTAATCGAAGGTCTGCATCTGATGGGAGGAGGTGAGACAGTTTACATGTTGCTTTCATTTGTTGTTTAACATCTCACTCAGCAATATTCCAGCTGCATGACGATGCTCTGTAATTAATTGATTCTGGACCAGACAATCCAGTGATTGACATCATGAGCATCAATCTACATAATTAGCATACAATCATAAGCATCAACAAAGTCAGCTGGTCTGACCATCCGATCCCGTTAGCTGGCTCTTATGACGAGAATGGGTTGTTAAAGAAAGACCAATTATAAACTGAACCTTGGCAGCTGTTGTTTCTGTCAGCAGTAAAAAGTGTGAACTCAATCTTTTAATAATAATAATAATAATAGTTTTTCTCCCATAAAGTAGATACCCATCTACTACAAACTGAAGCAAAATACAAACCAACTTGATTTTTGTTTGTTGTTTAACATCACAATCAGCAATATTCCAGCAGCGGTCTGTACATAATTGAGTTTGGAACAGACAATCCAGCGATTAATATAATGAGCACTGATCTACTCTACCATGACATACATCAACAAAGTCACCTGACCACCCAATCTCATCCATTGCCTAATATGACAAGCAATGGATGTGACGTCCAGTTCTAACCCAGATTTTTTTCAGTAATAGCTTGATAATCTGATATCTTAATGGAAATCTTAAATGAAATATTTTTAAAACTCAATTTTTCTAATCCTGATTTTTGTTGTGATATTGGTGAGATATTACCAATGAGATATTACAATTTCATTTACTATAAAATATCTGAAGTGAAAATAAAAGGAACTAGAACAATATTTAAGAGTCAAAGCATTTGTTTGACATTCAATTTCTATATATTACAAGTGACATTTATGTATGTGTTCTTCTAGAAACCTTTTCACACTGATATATTGGTTTGTTAACCACTGCCACCTTTTGACCTGGACATGGTAATACATGTCATAATGTGAGACCAGCTCACCCATATCAAAACTACAAGGTTTCTTTAGGAGACAGATAACCCTCGAAAACAGATATTGGAATCACAACAGCAGTCTGGCTCTTTCATCAAGTGGCCAAATCCAATTAAAGCCATCAAAATCTATGACTTGCATGCATTGCACAAAAGCTTATTACCTGGAAGCAATGAAGAACTGATGCCAAGAACGAAACAACTTTTTTGGCATCTCTGTCTGTGGCATCAAAGCAGACATCAATGAGGGCTCTCTGTAGGCCATTTCTCATTGGCTGGTACTGAGCCGTTTGCTGAGGCTCCAGGAACACAAACTTCAGAAAGGGGGAGATAACTCTGATGGCTATTTGTCTGATTCTGGAAAATAACAAAATAGACATTTATATATAAGACTTACACAAGAACATTATCTCTGGCAATAACTGATGAAATAGACTGAATCAATAAAATATAATAAAAGGGAAAGAAAGCCTATTTCTGGTCTGAATCAGCTACGTCAAGATGCACCAATTGCAATGCACTCTAAAAAGATTCTTGTCCAGAAACTGTTGTTTTTCCAAAAGATAGTATCCCAACCTATTACATATGAAAGGTGGACTTAGTTTTTGAATATATATACCACTTGCTGGTAAGACAGCCAGGTAATCAAGAAGCGTGTGTAGTGAAATTTCACACGTACAACTCGCACACCTGGCTGTTCTACCTGCAAGTGGCCCCCCCCGTAAAAGATAGCGTGCCGAATTGCATGTTTGAAATTTCACTACACATGCTTCTTGATTACCTGGCTGTCCTACCAGCAAGTGGTCCCCCTTCGTAATAGGTAGCGGTGAGGGACAACAAAATAATGATTGTTTGTTAAACAACTTTTTTATTCGGGTGTTCATAATTATGAGACAAATCATCAGAGTTGGTCTGTCAATTTCACGGGACTGTGCAAAATTTGGTTTTGTTGCAATTATTAGATTTTGTGTTAGTGAGCAATTCATCGGTCTAAATTGAAATCAAACGGACTACAACTCCATTTAAATTGAATAGGAGCCGTCATAAGCTGGGAGAACCTGAACCTGAGGAAAATATAGACCTGCTTCATTTGGGGCTTTTGCTTGCAGAAAGTGCTAGATGGAAGGAACCTAATATGGTTTAGTGACTGTAAGACATACTGGTATAAAAGGGAGCAGATGTTGTTTGACAATGTCAAGGTCAGTCAATACACTGATAATTAACAAGATTTGATAAAATATATCTTTGACATGATCTCAACAGTTAACAAGAACAATCAAAACTTGTGATCAGAAGTGGTGGGTCTTGGGTTCAAATTCCAAACGCTATGATCTTTGGTCTGTCAGCACCATGTCTGTGAGTGAGTGAGTGAGTTTAGTTTTACGCCGCATTCAGCAATATTCCAGCTATATGGCGGCGGTCTGGAAATAATTGAGTCTGGACTAGACAATCTAGTGATCAACAGCATGAGCATCGATCTGAGCAATTGGGAACCGATGACATGTGTCAACAAAGTCAGCGAGCCTGACCACTCGATCCCGTTAGTCGCCTCTTACGACAAGCATGGGCTACTGAAGATCAATATTCTAACCCGGACCTTCACGGGTCACCATGTCTGTGACAGATGGCATCACGTGATGAAGCCTTTTCCAATGTGGGATGAATCCTCCCCCCACATGCTGGGCTCGCTGAAATATTTTTCAAAGCGGTGCTGCTTAAACCAAACTGGCTCACCCCTAATACTAGCCTTGCTCCAAGGCTGTACTGAACACAGAGCCAATGGATGTATACTTATTCTATCATTCAAAGAAGGAAGTCTAGATAAGCAGACAGTACATCTAAGGGACCGTTCATAATGTATGGCTAGTTAGGCGGTGATGATGATTTGAGGGGGTTTGGGGTTGTCACCCAGTTTGTTCTGGGGAGCTAGGGGTCATCAATTTTGGACACATATACTAGGGGAAGTGTCAGCAATTTTGTACACAAAAATATGTTTAAAATAATGCTTAGAAATGATGGGGGGGTGTCATTGATTTTGTACATGACATGCAGGGGGGTCACTTAGTTTGTTCATATATTTTAGGGGGGTCATTCACATTGTACATGCTTCTCCATAAAAATCATCATCACCCCCCTAGCCATAAATTATGAATGGTCCCTAAGTACCCCAGTCTGTTATGTATTATTTTTAGGAATTATCATTAAAACTATTAATTTTAGAGACCTTAGAGACTTGTTCAAGTCTACCCTAATGCTTGCAAGCAGTGACCTGGTTCCCTCGAACACTATGATACACTATATTTGATGCCATTAGTATCAAATACATCAGGACGTCATGATGTCAATCACTGGATTTTCTGGTTCAGAATATTATTTGCGTAGCTCAGTTCAATGTTAAACGAACAAATAAATAAATAACAAAAAACAGTAAGGAACCCTAAAAAAGGGTCTACCATTGTCAGGTAAACAAAAAAACTATCCCAATAAATCTGTATTTATATGTTTGTTCTTATTTCTGAGTTTCTGGAGGAAGACTATTCAAATCTCTCTTCCCTAACACTTTAAATATCAGTAAAGAAAAACTTTTTCCACATTTCATCTTAAGTCTCATAAATATATTTTTTCTCAGTCTCATGGTCTGTGCAAGTGTGGACCAGATGTAATTGACTCTTTTTCTGACGTAAGTACGTGTCATCCACGCCCCCAAGGAACCGCGATAATGCCAGTTCCTCCGTCAAAACTCTAAAGAAGATCACTCCGCGCCAAATCTGACTAATTTATCATTTCTTATACCTTCTTCAAAAGAAAATTCATGCATTTTTCAAAACTAATTGTACAAGATTACAAAGTCTTACTCAATGCAGACATTCATATGAACCCTGTCTGCTGTGGGAAAGCGTAGTAGAAGTAAATAAAATCTCAACATGGCTTTCAGACAGCAGATAGATCACAGACAGTCATCTGCAGACTTAACTGGATTAATTAACTTGTTGCTCATTGGCATGATCAGCCAGCACTAAAGCAATTGACAGATTTGACTACACGCTAGCATGATCTGACTGAATCAGATCAAAATAGAAAGGTGTTTGCACTGTATGCAAAAACAGAGGCAGTAATATTGATCCTCATGTTTTTCTTCATGTCCGAAACCTTCCAGCCAGAAACATGCATCATGTACTAGAAAGGTGTATCATGTACCATTTTACTAGAAAGGTGTATCATGTAACATTTTACTAGAAACACGTATCACGTACCATTTTACTAGAAACATTAAGGCCTTTGCTATTTCAACCATACCATTAAGGCCTTTGATATTTCAACCATGCCATTAAGGCTATTTCAACCAAACCCTATATATTTCAATGATATTGTCAAGGCCTCTTCTGTTTGAACCATATCATCAAGGTCTGAACTATTTTAACTAATTCATCGAGACCTGTTAACAGACCTAAATACCATGCTGATAATACCATGGACCCAATCATGGACCCTACTATGTTCCATCCCAGGCATTCACTGTAGTTTCAGGATTCTCTATTCTGTAGCTATGGAGAAGAAGTTTTAAGTTAATTGATGGAACAGAAGAAATATGATAAGAAAGGAGTACAAGCTCACATCCATCTCTGAGCCAGGTTAGCTATAATCTGCATGCGTAAACAAAAGAAGGGTTGTAAAGGTCGAAGACTGGCTCAACAGTGCACTTGGGTGACGTAAACATGTCTAAATTATCACTGAGCAAATATTTACACTGTTCCCCAGAAAAGACTATATTAAGCCATCCTTACTATTAATATGATTTTAATAACTGATCATGTATCCACAGAAACTCCAAAATTAAGAAACCTTGGGATGAGTTTGCACAACATGCTAAAAGCAACATTCAACTTCATCATTACTTCAGTTATCCAAGCAAAGTCACAGAGGTACAGAAGCTCACCTTTCAGAAATATTTAACAACTTGAGTGATAATGAAGCTCAAGTAGTTGTGATGGTTCAAGCTGTTTGAATGGCATTTAGAAGTCGGCAAGTAGCAGTAAAGGGAATATATTTTTATGGATGACAAGTCCTTATTCTATCTTGATGCGACATTTCAGGATAGATATAGCTGTCAAGCAAGTGTTACCTTACTGTATTGTTTCACAGTAAGAATCACATAAACTAGCAATCATTCATTCTTCTTCTAGTTAACTTAGCAATGTACATATGCATATTTGATGGGCTGTATATCAAGCAGATTTTCATATGTAGGAGATCAAGACATTGTCACGAATAGAAACATGAGGTCATATTAACAAAGTTTTTAAACAAGGATGTGGGTATTGCACTAGACTTCACATGCAAGATGTATGCTACAACACTGAACAGTGGACTCTCAAGCCTCTAATAAAAATATGTTACACTTGATCACAAATGAGTGAGTATGGTTTTATGCTGCTTTTAGCAATATTCCAGCAATGTCACGGCGGGGAACACCAGAAATGGGCTTCACACATTGTACCCATGTGAGGAATCGAACCCGGGTCTTCGACATGACAAGCCAACGCTTTAACCACTAGGCTACTGCACCGCCCTGATCACAAATGACTCTTAGAGAGAAGGCTTCCATTTTGCCTGTTTCACACCTGTCACAGAAATTTTAACATGTGTCAAAAGGATTGATTTTAAGTGTTGTTGCATTTCTTCTTTTTTTTTTTTATATTCATCTTTTTTTAGGTACAAAACCATGACATTAAGTAACAGTCAAATATAACCATGCGTTTGTATACAGAGTTTGGCAAGCATATTATAACAAATTACATTGTAGGGAAATGGGTCGGTTGTATGTTAGTATTAATCAAACAATTGGTGACAATCAGACCAAAATCCAACAAATTTGGTAAAATTACAAGAAGAGATGGCATGTGTTCTCTCGATATTGTAAATATCAGCCTGAGTTGTTGCATTTCAGCCTGAGCAAGTGTTTGATGCAAGGGGCTTTTAAGATAGATGTACATAAGAACAGTTAAAAGAAATGGATGCCAAATGACAGTTGACAAAATAACCTAAAAAATGTTCAGTCTATATCATGAGCGTGGACACAAAAATTCCATTAACAATATTCATGCTATCAAGAACACAAGCTATTTTCAGCCATAGTTCATACTGAGTGACCTTGATTTGTGATATAGAATATACTGGCATGGAACATATGCAAGAAAGTAGTCATCTAAAGGTTGAAATTCTAACTCATTTACTCTGAAGTACATCAAACATCACTAACAGTTAACTGACTGACTGACTGAGTTTGGTTTTACGCTGCTTTCAGCAATATTCCAGCAACATCACAGCGGGGGACACCAGAAATGGGCTTCGCACAT